AATCTGGATGAGCTAGGGAGGCCCAGGTGGATGTTTTCATTTGCAAATCATGAGAAACTTAAGTGGGTTTTATGCTCTGGATAGAGTTGGCAAAACCGAATTACTGAGTTTAGGTTAACAATTTAACTCAAGACATGGGCAGCAAACCCATCCCCTCAATTGATAAAGAAGGGGAAATATTTTCTACATTAGAATTGACACTGACAACATAGCTTTTTTAGTCTACCTTGGTTGCTCTAGTAGGCCACAGCCCAGCCACGTTAAGGTTCTTTGCTGTGGGAATTTTACGTAAACAAAACTCCAAAGCACACCATCTGTAAGCTTTGGTCTTGCTTGTTTCTGAGAAGGCTTTTATTTCGTTATACTAATAGTGGACTAATAATTGGTAACTGTGAGAACTTAGGTATGATAGCATTGTTTGAAGTAACATTTGATTTGGGGGCAGCAGCTTTCTAAATACCAACTCTATTTGACAAATGTTTTGAAAATTAAAATTTTAAGGGAGCAACACCCTGTTAAGAGTTTCCACCATAGTTGAGGCAGCTACTTTATGAATAAGACCACTTTGGGTTATTGAAGCAGAAGCATTTCTTTTTTTTTTTTTTGAAATGGGGTGGGGTGAGGAGTGAGTTGTTAGACCTTTGATTACAGTTTGCTGGTTTAGAAACAGCCTCTGGCTGAATTAGTGCGTAGATGGATGAAAGTATAAAGGACTTGTTTTTATGGTAGATTTTCTGTAAGAATCTTAAATGTTCCTTTTCAGGTTAGTCAGATGTGTTGATGTACACATGACTTCTACTTTTCTCACTGACTATACTATAACATTAAAGAGGGGTTAAAGAAAACAAAACTCTGCCTTTTGTGCTACGAAACATCTAGTCCAGAGGTTTTAAGCTGTGTGTCCATTCCTACTCTGAAAATGCATAGCTTTGTTCTGGATGTCATCTCTTGAAAGTAGAAAACTCCTATGTGTACATCACATTGTGGGGCTTTCTTAGGTATTTCTGGCAGACTTGCCCAAATCTTTAGATGGGCTGGGTTGTACAGCATGCCCCCCCCCCCAAGTATCGGGTCTGAAATACATACTACACTATCGATAGTGGAGATATATTCATTTTTTAAACTGTAAAGTAAATGTGGTCTCTAGTCTAGGTTTGTGGTGTGTACCTTTGTGTTAATGTGTAGGGAAGGGATAGTGACTTGATGGTTATGGGGAGTGTATCTTGATGTCCATACAGGGGTGAGTATTGCTAAATTATTAACAGCTTTTATCTAGAGTGGGTCATGTGATGAATGGCCTAATCAGAAAAATGAAAGGGCGAAGATGCAAGCTTGCCAAGTGATGAACAAGGTTTTCTATCTATTTTTTATCAGGTGTTATAAAACTTGTGCATGGCTTTTTTTGTTGTTGCTTAGTAACTGGTAGAGAAGAAAAGATGAGGAAAAAAACTCAGCTTTCCTTACCAATCTTTTCAGAGGTACGTAGTTGGGGAGTAAAATCTGACTGGCCTAATTGATGGAAAAGACCCTGTCCTTTTCACCCCATCCTGCAGTCCTCCGTGTAGAGGAACTGCATTGTTGTATTCTAGTAATTCACTGTGATTTATAACAAACCAGTGATGTCATTCTATTGTGCACTTTTGTCAAACCATTTATGTGACTTTAATAAACATAGTAAACTCGCTGACTGCACCAGAGGTCTATTAGTGATTCATATATTGCATGACATTTTCTATTTGAGTTTGACATGTAGAGTCATTTTTAGTTTCAAGGCAATTGACAGTCCTAATAGCTCAGCTAATTTGAAACTAACAATCTTGCTGTGTAAAAGGAAAAAATGGTGTTTGTGTTCAGTAAATGTTTGAAAAAAACTACTTTGAGGTTTGTGTCTTTATTATTCAATGTGCCTAAGTTGCGATGTTCTTTTGTTGAATTCCTTAAAAAAAAGTCATCAGTTATATATGTGCATGGGAAAAAATTCAGATAGTAAAGAAAAATTCAAAAATATTTTTTAAAAGTTCCCTTCCCATCTCTCCCCGCCTCCCATTTGGACTCTGCAGAGAAAATCACTATTAATAGTTTTTTGAGTAGCTTCCCAGAATGTTTCTGTGCACATATGTATTATTTCTCCTTTTCGTTTTTTAAAATGCAAATGAACGTCTACCTCTGCCATACTATTCTGCATCTTATCTTTTTCGTTTAGTATATCTTAGGCATATTCCATTTCTAAATGTGTAGATTTTTAAAACAATAATTTTATAGCATTTAATTCTGTTGACAGACTGAACATTTATTTAACTAGATCTTATTGATAGGCTTTTAGGTTTTCAGCTTTTGATATTTCAAATAATGCTGCAGTGAATGTCCTTATGTACAATACTTAGAGGACAGATTGATTCCTAGTACTGGAACTTGGTTTACTGACTACTTAAAATCTTGACAGAGGTTATCAAATTGCCTTCCATCTCTCTATGTCTTTACTGGCATCAGATATCTAATCATTGAGTTTTTACAAAGTTGTGATTAATGAAAAATATTTCATGGTTTGATTTGTGTGCCCTTATTATGAATAAGGTTGAACACTTTCATAAATTTATTGACTATGTTTGCTTCGGGGTTTTTTTTTCTTTTTTCATTTGCATCACTAACCAGTGTTCATTATTTCAATTTTTTTTTTAACTACTTGCTAGAAGTTCCTTAGAAGTTTGAGGACATTTTCTGTCGTGTAATAGTTTTAGTTTATTTACTTCAAATACAGTAGTTTTGTATCCGAAGTTTACATTTTTATATAGTCAAATTTATCACAATTTAAAAAATGGTTTTATATCCTGCTTGTAAGGCTGTCTCTATTCCTAGTTACAAGTTATACATCTTTTTTTTTTAACCCATGATCTATTTGAATAAGACACTTATGGCTTCCCCTCCGTTTTTTCTCCTTCTCTTTGGTTTAAAATTTTGATTTTCCTATAATTTGTTTGGTTTTTTGTTTTTTGAGGCAAGGTCTCACTCTCTCACCCACGCTGGAGTGCAGTGGTGCAATCATGGCTTACCGTAGTCTCGATCTCCTGGGCTCAAGTGATCCTCCCAACTCAGCCTCCCAAATAGCTGGAACTGCAGGTATGTGCCACCATGCTTAGCTAATTCTTTTTTTTTTTCTTATTATTTTTTGGTATTTTTTGTAGAGATGGGGTTTCTCCATGATGCCTAGGCTGGTTTTGAACTCGGGCTCAAGCAGTCCTCCCACCTCAGCCTCCTAAAGTGTTGGGATTACAGACGTGAGCCACCACTTGTGACCTTGGACTAGTATTTCTTCATTTGTCTTTTTTAAGTGGGGAGGTGGGAGCCGCTAATTTTTTCCAGTATTTTATGTTTATTTTTCCAGATGAAATTTGATGTCATTTTATCATGTTAACAGATTATTTTGTTTAGCATTGAATTAATAGATTTAGGGACCTCTGAATAGTTGTGCACTTGTGAGCTTTTTTTTTTTTTTTTAATCCAAAAGAACAATATATCTGGCTAGGTAAGTCATATACCGCTATCCAGAGTTTTTTTTGTTTTTTTTTTTTTTAAATGAAGGTCTTACAACTATCTTCCTTTTATTATCACTAGGTTTGTATCGTTACACGTACTTCTAAATATTAATGTTTTTACAAAAGCGCTGTAATGGATTTCTTTTTTTTTTTAGAAAGAAATTTTCAGTTACTTCTTTTGGATGTCCCAGATACACGAATCATTTGCAAGTAACAATAATTTTGCCTTCTCATTTCCAGCATTCACAGCTCTTACAGTGGTTAAGATAGCCAGGAGAGCATCAAAGGGTGGTATTGGAGCACGCCTTCAGCACGTTTGTTTTCAAATTTAGATGCTGAGTCTCTATAGAGATCTGAAAAAAACATTCAGCGCAGTCCTTTCATTTTATAGTTCAGGACACAAGCCCAGAAAGGACACACAAGGCCTAAGTGTGTCATAATTGGGAGTAGGCTCTGGGTCTTTGGACCCATGGAGCACTGCTCTTTCACTATGGGACGCCAGTACTAGAGAAGGGCACCTTCGGATCTCTGCCAAGTTGCTCACTGGCTGCAATGCCTAGCGAGACTGCAGAAGTCACCCGGACGGGTTTTAAAACGTATGCTTCTTTGTTTCAAGTAATGTCTGCTGTATACACATGACTAGGCTAAAGAGAATACTGGTAGTAGTTATGTTCCTTCAGATACTTGACGTAGAACATTTCAATATGAGAGAGGCAAATTTTAGGCCGTTCACAAAACCTTAGCTTGTTGGCAAGTTTTGACAAAATTATATTTTCTAATTTACCTGTGCTTTAAAAATTTGATGTGCTCAGTCCATCAGAGGGGAGGACTGGAGTTTTGCTTTTGCCTTAATCAATGGCAAGACATTCTTGGAAATTGGTGCTTACTGAACACATACTGTATTTCGAGCACTGCACAACAGATACGCATACAAAAATAAGGGAGACCAGCCTGGGCAACAAAGCGAGACCCGACCCCCTCTCTCCACAAAATTAAAAAAAAAAAATTAGCTGGGTATGGTGGTGCACATCTGTAATCCCAGCTACTTGAGAGGCTGAGGTGAGAGGATCACTGAAGTCCAGGAGGTCGAGGCTGCAGGGAGCTGTGATTGTATCATGGCACTCTAGCCTGGGCGACAGAGCGAGAGCCTGTCTCAAAAGTAAAAAATACAAAAAATGGCCTCTGTCCTTAATACGCTTGTTCTCCAGTTAGATGCACCTATTTGAAATTTGATTTTCTATATTTCCTCTAATTTTCCAAATAAACACTTAAGGTATTCTTTGACTTTGGCTTGGGCCATCTTCTGAAAACATTTCAGACACATCACTAAGTTGCTGCTCTTGTTTTTTTAATGCAGTGCCAGGGAGATAACCCAGGAGTTCGAGACCAGCCTGGGCAACACGGCGAGACCCTGTCTCTACAAAAATACAAAAATTAGCTGGGTGTGGTGGTGTGTGCCTGTAGCCTCAGCTACTCGGGAAGCTGAGGTGGGATTGCTTGAGCCCAAGAGGTGGAGGTTGCAGTGAGCTGTGACAGTGCCGCTGCATTCCAGCCTGGGCAACAGAACACTGTCTCAAACCAAGCAAAGCTGACGAGAAAGGGTAAGTCCCTCAAGGAGTGGTGCCCCTCCTTTAAAAATAACTTTCTGCGTGTACTCTACTTTGGACCTGGTAAGTTTGCTAGGTACAGTTTAGAATACGTTATTGAAAGGTTTGAGGTGCAAGGCTTCCAATTCCCTCTTGCTGCTAAACCAGCAAGGCTCTGTTCCTGTTTCAGTTTCAGTTTTGGAACATCCTGGCCTATTTTAGCATGATGTTGAAGCTAATAGAATAATAGACAGTGACACAAAAGCACTGCAGATTTTAATGTGGCCAATTAGCCTGGCTGTCCTTTGAGAAGAACCTAGGTGATGTTAATACTAACATAGTTTGGGAATTTTTTTTTTTTTTTAATCATAAGAAGGAGTGCAGAATAAAAGGCTGGAACCACATTAGCTGAAGGTAAAAGCACAGACCAGTGTGGTGTTGAATAAAAACAGGGGACCATTCATAATGACTGTATTTAAGTCACCCAAGGCACATTTGGGTGGTGCGAGACTGCTTGTTGGGGGTGAGGCATGGGTGCAGTGAGTCATGAGTCATGATAGCGGGAAAGGAGCACCAGCAGGCCAGCGTTCTCCATTACAGGCTGTTTGGCATCCTGGGCTTGAAGCCAGGGGACGGACTCAAGTCTAGTGTCTTATTCTCAGACAATATTGATGCTAAAAAGCTTTTGAATACTGATGGAGGTAGCAATGTATCTTGTAAACACCTCGAGGGTTGGAAAGGTCCACAGCGTCTCGCAGCAGCTTTTCCATATCTCCCTGGGCAGAGCGATTCCATACTGTGTCTGCTGTGTTTTCGTTAGTACTTTGCCGTTTGCGCCTAGATACCTGTCTTGTTAAGAAACATCACCTTCCTTAACAGAAGTAAAACCCAGAAACTCCACTGGGCTTTTTGCTGATTATCTTTGCTGGCTGCCACCAAGATAGGCCCAAGCACAGCTGGAAGGGCATCTAAGACAGGCCTGACAGTTTAGGAAACTGATATTGAAGAAAACAGAATCGCAGAATGTGACTATAATATTATAAGCTATTATGTCATATTAAATCCAGATGGCTGTTCTATAAGTTTAATGTGCTTAGAACTACCTCACAGAACTTGGATCTGTGAAGTCTGAAGAGGAGCTTAGGAGTCTGTGGTCTGACTGAGGTGGTCCTGGGACCCCTCTTTGAGAAGCTCAGCTCTGCAGAGATATCTGTTTTATGGGGCACAATTTGCCCGCCAAGCTTGCATGCCCACACCACCTAATGCCAGAAGCAAGAAGCATGCTTGTCAAGGTTTCTCTTTTCTAGCTCTCAGCTGTCTGGAACTGCCCTAATCGATGCCCTCTTCTCTGAAGACCTGCCCCAGCCGATGCATAGGGGCTCATGCGGATAGGACTCTGCTGGCCCACCATGTTAGAGTCACCTGTGAAGTCACCCAGGACATCGTGCACGTCTCATCACACAATTCCCTGCGGAGGTGTCTCTCCTGTACTATCCAGTAAGCCTAGGATTTAGAAATCCTGACAATCCAAGGACCAAAGTCTAAAACCATCATCTGTTGGGGATTTTGTGCCCCAAGTATGTTTTTCTCCAGTGCACTTAAGTTTGCTGCAGAATTTCTTAAGTGTCACATGGCCACAGGAAATCAAAGCAGCTTGTTTAGAGTGATGTCTAGGATGGGCCAATAATGCTTTTATTTTTGTTTTGTATTTTTTTGGGGGGATGAGCCAATAATGCTTTTAAAAGACAGTTTTTAAAGTGGTTGTTTCCTGTGAACACAGAGTGTAACCCTTAGCTCCGTAATTCTTAACAGATTGCTGTTAACATTAACCTGTGAACCACAATGTGAATTTTAATATTGATTTAATCTTGCACTTTGGGCTGCTTGCCTCTAAATGCCAAAATTGTCTTTAGAGACTGCTGTTCAGCTCCTCTAAGTCCCCCTTGGGGGCTTGGAGGACCCTGGAAAACTGGGCAAAATCTGCAGCAAATTCTCTGAAGACGTGCTGTACGTAACATGAAGCCCTTCCCCACTCCAGGCTACAGCCCCGTTAACCTGAATGACACTGAAGACAAGTTTCTGGTATTCATAGAACCTGTGCCTATGAACCTCCATTTCTTCATCTTCTAGCCTGGATATTAATTTGCCTGCTGATCAATGCTCAGCCATTGGACTCACCTGGGTAAGTTGGAAACAAACTTGGCCCCTCTCCCTACCAATGAAATTAGAATCCATAGTGGGTAGGGCCCTTGCAGTGGTCACTTTTAAAGCTCCCAGATGGCTCTAAGGTGCAGCCAGGATTGAGACATACTGTGCTAGCGTAGACTCTGCTCCCTGTAAGATGCATCGCTGTTGGCCGTACCAGGCACTCTTAAGGCTCATCTGGGACATTTGTACTTCAGAGTAAATAGGGTTACAGTAAGAGAAATTGAGAGGCTGAAGGCCTTGACAGAACTCAGTTTGTCCACCTTTTGACCACTTAGTTGGTCTTGGTGTAGGTGGGGGGAAGGGCGTGAAGGGACCGTGGAGTTCTGGAATAAGGGCTGCCTGCCTCTGACCATGAGTCCAGAGGTGGCAATCAGTGTGGCCTCTGGGCTGCATCTGTTTGTAGCAGGTACATTCTGTTGGCCTGCAGTGTGGTCACAGGCGGTTGTTTTTAAAAATATGAATGCCAGCCTTTAAAAATTGGGTTTTTCATAAGAGCATTCTCTCAGATCTGATGGTGTCTGATGGAAGACTTGGTGCTAAATCAAACCATGCACTTAGGAGTGCGAGTTCATTAATTCCCATTTAGCCAGGTTACCCAATTCATAAGGGTGATGACTGAAATGGAATATGATCTAACACCAATTCCTTCTGATTCTATTAGAAGGCGATGGGTTTTGATACTGAAATTTTAGTTTCACCATTTTCACCTTTTGCTCTGCAACAAGCCCTTCTGAGGTTGGGCTTGAATGATAGAATCTGGCTTGGGAGATAGCAGTCTTGGGTTTAGTCTAGGTTTTGCTGTGGGAGCCTAGGGCTCTCTCTGGTTCTGAGTGTCCTCATTTATGTAAAACAAGATCAAATAATTTCCAAGGTTCTTCTAATTGGGATTCGAAGATGTGAATGGCACAAGAATAGAATGGAAGACCCCCTGGTTAAAGTCAGAGTGTAAGAGGGTTAGCAATGAAACTGGCCTGGAGAAGTCTGGGAGGGATGTGAGGGAAGAGCTGGAGGCAAGCGGGGAAGCTACAGTGAAACGTTGGGTCCTAACCCTCCACACAGGCCAAAGATGAAAGGGCGATCTTGGGCGAGAGAGTGCTCCACCACTGGAGACATCACATGGAGGCCAGCCAGCTACTTAGAGGGCATGATGTGGGCAGCAGATGGTGGATGAGTCCCTTGTGACATGCAGAGGTAGGAGGGAAGGAAGCAAGGAACCCCTCATCTACTACTTCTCCTTCAAAGGTAAGTGTGCAGGTCAATGGGATGCGCTCTGCCCACAGAATGGGATGTCAGTGCTTGGTTGTTTTTAAACACTGTATTTTTAATTTTTCAAAAATATTTACGACAGTAAAGGTCGTACTGTGCACGGGGACAGATGCCTTTGATGCGTCCCCCTTTCTACCTCAAAACAAGGTTAAGGCATAAATTACTCCGCTGGGCACCAGGCATGCCCCTTGTCCTTGGGGCACCATCACTGGTCATACCACTTGTCCTGGGGGCCGGTGGATGAGATATTTGCCACCGAGGCTGCGCAGGCTCTGGGAGTCCCTGCACGGGCTTTATTCAGTGCATTCCAGAGGGGACCCCTCAACAGCGCTGGCCAAGCCCTTCCCTTTGCACTGGTGGGCATAAGGGAAGGATGGGAGGCAGTGTGTGTGTGTAGGGAGGTGGGTGATACAGGGAGGGGAGGTCCCCCACCCTACCCCTGCTGCCCAGCTGCAGCCGGGCCAGTGTGTCCACGTCTAGGGGCAGGCTGCAGCAAGAAGACATGTAGGAATGCACAGCCCCAGGGTTTGTGTCATCCACATGCTTCCCATGAGGTACCTGGGAACAAATGTGGCCCGGGAGGGTTGCCAGCTGAGAGCGAGGGGCTGCAGCTGGTGTGGGAACGTGTGCGTTGTGGTCAATGGGAATGCACGTGGGTGCAGTGCCCGTCTGCCTCTCATGTCAGGGCAGTGTGTGGTATCCTGGTCCCACTTGCCTGGCTATTAGTCTTTGCATCTCAGAGTCTTTTCATCCCTGGCTTGTGGCTATCACCATCAAGCCCTTGGGCTTGGGTGCATTCTTGGGGAGCCTTAGGGGACTGTCTATGGGGAGGGGGGTGGGTGAGACCTGGGAGCCAATGGAGGGGTGGGAGGGTGAGAGAAAAGGGCAGAATTTAGATCTGTTCTGTCTTGGGTCCTTCTGGAATTAGAGACCTGGAGTGTGCAGATTGAGTTCGTATTTATGGTCTTCCTCCCTAGCTTTCTTTGGAGGATGGGGATGATGACGAATTCCTAGAACCTTAGTAGCTGGGGCAGCAAATGCCCTCCACAGAGTTTGAGGGAAGACTTGGGGTGGGTGTGTCCCTTTAAATCCCTAGGGATCTGTGTTGAAGGTGTCCCAGCCTCCCAGTAGGGCGATTCCACTTAAAACCAGCTTGAGTTCCATTCTGGAGGGAGCAGGTGCCATTGCTCAGGAGATGAGGTCAAGTGCAAAGCCAGCTGGCTTCCTCTCCGCTTCAGCTTGGCGGGGCTGCAGGCCTGGGCCTGCACACCACCTAGACTGGTGTCCTGGCCCCCATCAACTCAAATTCTCCTCCGGAGCCTCACTCCAGCACTTTTGGGGTGGGGTCCAGACCAGGCTCCCTCCTGCGCCTGGCACTTTTAAAGAAGCCGAGCTGTGAGGAGGCAAAGGGAGATGTCTCAGAGGTGGACAGGGTGGACAAGGTCTGCCCTTGCTGTCCCTCTACTACCCTTCCTCAGGATTCCTCCCTCGGGGCTTCCTTGAGTACCCCAGCTCATTCTGAGCACCCCCTCCTCCAGAACTGCCTCTGTGGACTGGAACAGAGTAGATGAGGCCCTGGGTGGCATGTGAGAAGTCATGCTGGTTCCCACCACGTTGCTGTGTGACCAGCCCCAGCCAACATCCCTCTCTGGGCCTCATCTGTAACATGAGGAGGCTGAGACCAGGGTTTTGTAATCAGAGCTTCAGGGACAGAGATGGACTTTGGAGGGTTAACAGCTTGACATTGTTGAAGATATTTTCTACAGTTGTGAGTGCCTGTTTTTTTTTTCCCCCTCTAATAATAGGAACCTTAGTTTTCATCAGGTTCTCAAAGGCACCCACAACCAGGTCACAGCCATAGCCTGGGTGCCCTCTGTTGGCCCTAACCAATGTACCTGCTGTGGTGAGGGGCAGGGTGCCAGTTCCCCTCAACAGAACGTGGCAGTGGCCACAAAGTTCCAGGGGCTGGAGCCTGGGCCCCTCAGCCAGGATGCTGCTCCGTTCCTCCCCTGCAGGGGTCCTCACCTTCCATAGTGCCAGGACCAGCAGGGCCAGCAGCAGGAGGCCCCCCAGGGTGCTGCCCACAATGATCCAGATGGGGACCTGCCAGTCTTCTTGCTTGGAGATCTCAAACACGATCTGCAAGGGTGGGGGCCAGGCCAACAGCATTACTGTTCTGGGGCTGGGGTGGCAGCCTGGGAGGGGCAGGAGGTACAGACAGCTGGTGCCTGGTGGGGGCCCCTCAGTGGGATGCCAGAGGGTTGGGTGAACAGGCAAGCTAAGGCCTCAGGGCAACCAGCGCCTGCACAGCCAGCATGGGGCTCAGTGGCCCAGTTGATCCTGCCTCCTTGAGACACTTGCTGCCTTTGGCCTTAGCCTGCCCACCCCCCCACTCCCTGGATCCTCCTCCCACCACACGGGCTACTCCTCCTCTTTGCTGCCTCCACATGGTCTCCTGCACTGCTAAAGGTCGGTGTATCCCATGGTTCAGTCCTTACACCCCTTCTTTTTCTAGAGTTGCTCCCTGGGTGAACTCAGGGCTGACTTTCCCACGATTCACAGCAGGCATGGTGGCAAGGCCCATATCTCTTTTAGGAGACCATGAAAATGTTTACATTTAAGATCAGAGGAAAAAATGGAATAGACTCCAGCTTGGATAACATTTTTCTTCTTTATGCCAACACAGTTATAAACCATAATTTTTCTTTTTTTTTGAGACTGAGTTTCACTCTTGGTGCCCAGGCTGGAGTGCAATGGCATGATCTTGGCTCACCGCAACCTCTGCCTCCCGGGTTCAAGTGATTCTCCCGCCTCAGTCTCCCGAGTAGATGGGATTACAGGCATGTACCACCATGCCTGGCTAATTTTGTATTTTTAGTAGATACAGGGTTTCTCCATGTTGGTCAGGCTGGTCTCAAACTCCTGACCTCAGGTGATCCGCCTGCCTCAGCTTCCCAAAGTGCTGGGATTGCAGGCGTGAGCCACCATGCCTGGCTATAAACCATAATTTGTAATATTTTTTTTCCTATGGGGGAAGGTGCCCCAGAGACAAAAGTGGCCAGGGCCTCGAAGCTCAGAAAGCAACCCCAGGCCCGCTCCCTCAGTCCTGTGGCTTTCACTGTCTGTACTCTGCACGCACATTTCCCAGATCATACCGACCGTCTCCTGCCTGCCTGGCAACTGTAGCAGGCCCCTAACCATGCTCTTAACAACCCCGTCCCCCAAGGCCTGCTCCTTCCAGTTCTTTCTCACCTAAGCAAATGGCAGCACCATTCCTCCTCGATGCTCAGGCCAGAAACCATGTATCCATCACTGACCCTAACTTTCACACCCACACAGAGTCCAGCAGCAAAGTCTGTCCACTTGACCTTGGAAACACCCAGAATGTGGCCACTCCTCCCCCTCCTGGGCCTGAGCGCCCTCACATCTCCTCTAGAGACTGCAGCGCCACCTGCCACCCACCACCCACCAGCCTCCCCTCTGTAGTCTGTTCTCAGCATAGCAGCTAGAGGGATCCTTCTTACCAGGAAGGCAGGCCTATGCTCTGCTCTGCTCAAGCTCGCTCAGCATAAAAAGTGCAGTGCTGGCCCTGGTCTGCAAGGCCTCCCCCTCTCGGGTCCCACCTGTCTTGCTGACCTTACCTCCTGCTCCCCTTCGCCCTACTCCAGCCTCCAGGCGCCTGGTCTACATGCATGTCATGGCACACCTGCTGCAGGCACCGCGATTCTCTCTGCCTGCAAGGCTTTTCCTCACACAGCCACAAGACACTCCTGTCTTCCTCATGGTCTCTGTATGATGTCACTTTATTGGAGAGGCTTTTCCCAACTCCCTGTATAAAACAGCAGCCCCGGCACTTCACCCTTATACGTGTGCCTTTTTCTGGACGGCCCTTATCACCACTTGATGATGTCTGTGTTCATGTTTGTTGCCCACCGAGAACGCCGGCTGTAGGGGAGCAGGGGCTTTGTCTGTTTTGTCCCTGCTCTGTCCCCCATGCCTGGAACCATGCTGGGGACACAGCAGGAGCTCAGCTAACATCCGCAGTGAAATGCCCGCCTGCAGAAGCAGGCCGAGCCCGGCTTTGGGCGCTGACTCGATGTTCAACTTGAGGCGAGTCCCTGCCCCTCTTGCCTCACCTCACATGCCTCAGTGTGCCTACCTGAGAGATGGGGGTGGGGACAGTGGCTCACAGTGTTGTGAGGTCTGTCACTGTGTTCAGCACACAGCTGGGGACCAGCGAGTGGCCGCGCCCTTATGTGTGCTCTTTCTGTCCCTCAAGGCAGGGACCTGGCTCTGCCTCCCCAGTGCCGGCACCTAGCACAGAGCCCAGTATACAGGGGCTTAATTTCAGGGTTGCTGGATTTCTAAAAGAGAAGTGAGGCATCCAGAGAGTATAAGAGGAGTTTTTTGGGGGGTTGGGTGAGGGGCGGAAGAAGGAAAAGTCACCTAAAAGACAAGCATCGATGTGGGAAGAAGGTTCGTCTGTGTGTGTGTGTGTGTGTGTGTGTGTGTGTGTGTGTGTGTGTGAGTGAGAGAGAGAGAGAGAGAGAGAGAGAGAGAGAGAGAGAACGCGCGAGCAGGGTATGTAGGGGGGTGCCTGTACCACATCTCTTCTCTCTTGGAGGCCTGGAACATTCCAGCATCTTTCAAGATTCAGTTCAAACAAACAGTCTCCAGAAAGCTTTGCGAGGGTGTCTCTCACGCTGAACCGCTTCCCCCAGGCCTGTGCCTGTTCTCAGACTGCACACACCCACTTACTGTCACTGTTTCCCTGTCTGCCTAAATTATCTCTGGTTACCCTTTGGGGCTGGAGTCGTAGGCAAGATACCCAACAAACACCAAATGAATGAACAAACAAAAAGCCCCTGAGGTGGGTCCCGACACCCCTCTGCCTGGCATCCCCCTGCCCTGGTTGTGATTGGTTTTTGGTGAATCCTTTTATAAGGGCTGCCTCCTGACCCTGCCTGCCTCTGCTCTCCAGCATCTCCCTGGGGTCAGGTGGGGAGCTTACTCTGCCTGTGGAACAGAAACATTTGCCTGGAGCCCAGGCTGGCATTTCTGGGGTATGGCCAGTGGAGGGCAGCAGTATGCCACACCCAGCTGCCCTATTTTCACAGGACTGAGTTTTGCTGGCTTGCTTTCTTTTACAAATTTATTTATTTTTCCTTTGCCACTTATTCCAGGAATGGGCTTTTCTTTAAGACCTCACTTCTCGTTGGGTCTTACACAGAGCCTCACTCCTTTCCGGGACCCTGACTGAAACCAGTGTGATCTGTAACAATCTGGTTTTACCCAACTAAAAAAGAGGAATCTCACATCCTTTGGTCTTGACAAATTCAGTTCACCCCAGACCTCTGGCCCTTCCCTAGTGTTGCCCCCGAAGACCCATTTGTCTTGCTTTTTTCCCCCTCTCCTCAGCGGCTGCCCTAACAGCCCCCAGGTCTGCCTGATTCTCTCCTGCTGGGACATGCGGCCAGGGGTTGTAGAAAACTCTAGAGGATCAGCCAACCCTTTCCCAAGCTGTCTGGCCTCAGCCTGGGTCTGCAGGGCTCCCAGGGACTCACCTGGCGGCTGGGATCCTCCTCACGGAAGATGAAGGGGCTGTGAAACTGTCTCTGCAAGGCTGCGTGGACCATGATTTTCACGGATTTGTACTTGAGCTGTGCAATCAGAGGCCTTGTCGGAAGCTGGCTTGGAAGCCTTTCTTCCCGTTCCCTCCCCAGGCAGCCCCAGGTGGAAGACATCCCAATAGCCACCCCCTTTTCCTTCTTCCTTCCGGCCCAGCGCAGGGGCTCTACTTACTGCTTTTAGGGACTTCAGCCACAGACTCCCCAGTAGATGGAAATTGATTTCCTGGTTGGGGTCCAGCCGTATATTGCAGTTGATGGAGACTACATCAGAGTTGCTGTGATTCTGAAAGAGAGGATGGGTCTCAGGGCTGAGCTGCTGGGCTAGGGGGAGCAGGGGGAGGCAGCTCTGCTTGAACAACTGGGGCTCTGTTCCTGGGGGCAGGGACAGAGGACGGGGGATGAGGACAGAGCTGGAAGTGGGGGACATGTGCCCTCCACCTGCCAGGGGATGACTGAAAGACAAATGAAGGATGGCATAGCTGATGCTCCTTGAAGCTGTGCCTCATGACCGTCCTGGGTATGTTCTAGGAACAGAACTTTGGTTCAACGTTAGGGACTCTATAAATGTTTCCCATCACCATATAAACACATAAAAGTAAAAAAATTACATGATCGCTGCAGCAGATGCAGAAAAAGTATTTTAGGAAGTCCAACTTCTGCTCATGATAAAAAAACCTCCCAGGGAACTTCCTGAATCCGATAAAAGGGGTCTTCCTCAAGTTCACAGAAAATGTGTATTATGAAAAAACTATACATGGGTCCCAAAACTTTTTTCATGAAAGTAAACTCGTACTAACTTGTAGTAACCTGTAAACAGGATCTAGTTAGAGGCACTAAGAAGCATAAGACATCAGTTTGAAAGGATTAAATGGAGAAACTAACGTTGATGGGAAACCCAAACAAACCTTCAAACAGTTAGAATACAGTAGGTGAAAGGTACTAGTGTAGCTGCCTTGCCGCCCACCCCAACCCCAACTCAGCCCGAATCCCTGGTAAAGCACACCACCCCCAATCAGTGCTTTGTGGGAGGCACTTGTTTTGGGGAAGTAAAACTCAAACAGCTAAGATTGTTGTCTAGGTAAAGAACAGTGGAAGTGGGCTGAGAATCTGGTGTCTGGAGGAAGGGCAACCCTGAGAATGCAAACTGGAAATAAGCAGGTGTCTTGGGAAGGCTCTGGAAATTGAAGCTGATCTGCATTCCATCTCCAGGTCAGGAGGCCCCAGCTTGAGGCCAAATGTCTCCAGTACAAGCCATGTGTGTTCTGTTGTTCTGGCTGCCTCTGGCTTCTTCCCCTTCTCTCTGCTTCTCTGTATCCCACCAGCCCGCTTGGCCCAGGTGCAAGTCCACTATCCGCACCCCTTTCTGCTTATTTGCCTGACACTCCACAGGCTTGATCCTGGCTCCTCAGGCACTCACTGTGTGTGTGTGTGTTTGCCCCACTCCCTGTGAGATGGGGGACTCACATAGGCCAAGAAGTCTTTTCCTCCTCCAGTTTTTTCTTGGCTTGGGGCTGGGTACATAAAGGTGCTCAGTAAGCTCTTAACTGACAAGCTATTGGATTAGGAAGGAAATGGCCCCCCGAGCAAAGGTGGTGGCACGCCTCTAACCCCAACCACTGTGGCTCTCGGTCTGGGGGACAAGCTCACCAGCTGTGGAGCACGACTCAAGTCTTCCTCCGTTGGGGTGGGCCGGTACTCAGTGCTGTTCCCCCAGATGTTACAGGATGTGTTCATCTAAATAAAGGACACACACAGTCTCACAACCAGCTCTGGCCCACTTAGGCTCCCAGAGATATTTCTTTTCTCCTCCTCTAGCCGTGGCCCTGCGAGAAGGGAGCTGGGGTCTGGGAACCTGGGGATACATGTGTTGGGTGGGGGGGTGTCTGTCTCCTTCCGGTCCCCTCCGCTGAGCCGGCTCCCAAGGGCATCGGTACCTGGTCAGTGAGGAAGTCTCTCAGCATCAGCAGGCGGTTGCCACTCCTGGTGGCGATGGGGACAGTGATCTTCATCATCACCCCATGGATGGGGAACAAGCCCAGGTTCTGGATCTGTGGCCGGAGATGGGGAGGTGTCAGTACAGGTAAGTTGAAGGGGGTGGAAAACAAGGTCCACAGGGGCTAAGCAGCCGCTGGGGTGGCCATTCCCCCAGCCAGACCTGGGGAACAGGCCCACTCAAGGCCCCTGGTGGTTTCTCTGTGAAAGCTCCTAAGCTCTGTCAAGTTGTGACCGGGGACTGCCCTGACGAGTGCAAGAGAGCCTTGAAAGGGGGTGGGTGGCTGGAAACCGAAGACAAGCCACTGGGGATGCTGAGGCCGGAGAGCAGGGGCCACCTCCATTTTCAACTCTCCTTGGCTGGGGTGGGGGGTGGGATTTTGTTGAGGCCAGGGGTGAAGATGGTGACAGCAATTAATGCATGATGAAAGGGAATCATTAATTAACAAGGGATTTGCTACTAAACAGTGAGTGTGCGATTGTTCATCTTCTAGCAGTACCACATTCAGTGCCAGAGCAGCGGTGGTTCTAAGCGGGCTTGGACTCAGAAAGACCAGGAATCCGATCCTGGGCCTGCTGCTGTCACCTATGAGCTGTGTGGCCCTGGGCAGCTTACTAGACCTCTCTCCAACAAGCCACACAGGGCTCAGTGTGTCTGAAGTCCAGTATCCAGCTGTCAGCCTGCCCTCAGCGTTCACACAGCATACGAGAAGTTGACAAACTTACAGCAGTTTAGGGCTGGGGCAGCTATCAGGGCCCACTATAGCAGAGGCTGCTGAACTGCTTCCCCTTAATGCTCATTCTCCCTCTTAGTGACAGAACTGAGACAAAAAGCCGCATTTCCCAGACTCCCTTACGGCTCAGTCACAACGTCTTGGATGGAGAGAGGTCACTGGAAGGGTGAGAACTGCCAGGGAGTCCCTTGATAAGGAAGGAGCATGCACTTTTCCCCTTCCTCCTTCCTGCTGCCTGGGATGAGAACATGATGACTGGAGCTGCAGCCATCTTGTACTGTGAGGCAACTGGAGGCTGGTTCCTTCACGCTGAGGATGCTGGAATAGAAGACCCACTCCTGGCTGACGCTGTGACGCTGCCAACTCTGGACTTCTTTTAGGAGAGAGTAAACCCTAGTTTGTTTAAACCACTGTTTTTTTCTTTTTTGAGATGGGAGTCTCACTCTGTTGCCCAGGCTGGAGTGCAATGGTGCGATCTCTGCTCACTGCAACCTCTGCCTCCTGGGTTCAAGCAATTCTGTGCCTCAGCCTCCCTAGTAGCTGGGATTACAGGCACCCACCACCATGCCCAGCTAATTTTTGTATTTTTAGTGGAGACGGAGGTTTCACCATCTTGGCCAGGCTGGTCTTGAACTCCTGACCTCATGATCTACCTGCCTTGGCCTCCTAAAGTGCTGGGATTATAGGCATGAGCCACCGCGCCCGGCCTAAATCACTGTTTTTTTTTAAAAAAAAAAAGTTTTAAGAATTTTAGGCAGCCACACCTTATCTTCACCAATACATCCTCCACTGCAGTCCAGTTTTTCAGAAGACTGAGAGGCCCCGAGATGAGAAGTGACTTGCTGAAAGTCACACAGAGGGTAGGTGGCAGGGTTGAGCCTGGACTCTGGGCACTAGTCATGGTTCCACATTCCTCCCCTTCAGGATGGGGCTGCTCAGATCCCATCCTTCCCTCTCCACTGGCTCCCCTCCAGCCTTACCCTGAAGACGCAGTGGAAGGGAGGCCCGATGCCATCGTATCTCTCCAGCGTGCTGTTGGGCTTGACCTCGTAGTGGCTCAGGCTGCTGCTCCTGCAGAGACAGAGGACAGGGCCATTGTGAGCTCAGTCAGTGCTGGCTGGATGGACGGATGAATGAAAGAGGGAGAGGGCAGGTGCCGGCCTCCCCAGGGTCACAAAAAACAGGTTCCTTGTGTCGGTGGAGTGTCGCTTGGAAGGATTCTGAGCCTTAGCAGGAATCAACGCTGCTATGCTGCTATCTGTGAGCAATGTCTGCCTCGTGTGTGGGTGGGTGTGAATCAGAAGAGCCGTTATTTCACCCCTGGCCCAGCCTCTCTGCCTAGGGCTGTAGCCGCATTTTGGGGTGACCGTGCCACTGTGCCCCCTTCCACCCTCAGGGATGGCTGGCATGGGAGGCCCTGAGCTTCCTTTCCATATCTGCTGTTCCGCCCTGACCTCTCCATCTGCCTGTGAGCTCTCAGAGGACAGGGGCTGTTTCCTCTGTCAGATCAGGGGCCAGTGGCATATCAAGGGGTTGAGGGTGGGAGCAGTCTGTCCCTCGGGAAGAGTCTTTTCCCACTGAGGTTGTTTAGATGTGCTGGCATAAGGTGATCATAAAAAGCAGATTGACTTCTGATACGTATGATTACTGTGAAACACTCTATAGGCCATGCATTCACTTGTTGCTTATGCCAAGGGTGGACACCTCCCACTGCACCCCTCCCTTCTTGCCCCTGCTGCATGCTCCCCAGGGCCAGGCCTGTGTCTCCTCCTTCCTCTACTTTGATATCCCCTTCCCACACTGGATGGGGGAGGCTGTACTCTCTGACTCATCAGGGACACACTTGGCTCCATCCATAGTCCCTTAGTGCTGGGGTCTGGCCCTATTAGGGCCCATCAGAGGGTGCCTCCCTCCTCCCACTCCCCATCCCTTCCCTCTACTGGGACCCCCCAAGCCCGGCCCACCTGGTGAAGAGGACGTCAGCCTCATATTTGAGGTGGAAGCGCAGAGGGGCCACGTTGTCTTCCTTGGTGCTGTCCCGCTCGTTACTGTCACTGCAAGGAGAGCCAGTCAGCAGGGTTGGGAAGGGGCCCTCCCACCTACAGGCGGCTCGGCCAGCACAGACGCAAGAAGGGTCTGAGGCGGGCTGAGGAAGGAGCATGCTGGCTTATCAGGCTGATGGGCACCAGACTGGCCAGCCAGGGAACCTGAGGCATCTCCTAGGAGAGGAAGGGCCAGAGGCGGGGATGGATGACACAAGCTCTCCCTGCTGCCCCTTTAGGTGGAGTCAGGGAAGGGCTCTGGGCTGGTGTTGGGAGGCCTGAGCCTGGCCTGGCATGGACCAGACTGCCAGCCTGTGTGGTCCCTTACCGGGCCGCCCTGTCTGTCAGGCGGGCCAATCCTGCTGCCTGCTGGACTCTCAGGGGCTGTGAGAGACTTTACCTGTGGCAAAGGCTCTGCCCATGCAGGAGGCATTTATCTCTGGACTGATGGGGGGGGGAGGGGTAGCTCCTACAGGGCTGCCAGGGGCACTCTCCTGCCTTGAGAAGGTGAGACGGCTGGAAGTGAAATTCCAAGACATCTGCGGGGTTCTGTCCAGTGTGCCTTCCTTTATATCTGAGCACTATGAACTACTAGGGCAAGTCATTTTAGACATAAAAATGTCCGATTCTTGCTTATTACACGGACTGAGTTTTATTCTCTTTGGAAGCCTTACCCCAGGATAGGGGTTTGGTTAGAAAAAGGAGACCCAACACGCACAGACGTGTCCCCAGAGCCCCCTCCAATGCACACTAATTCTCAGACACCCCCACAGCTGTGCCAGAGACACTGCTCTGGAAGTGTGCTCATTTCTCCTGTGAAGATGGCACTGGGCTTTCTAAGAGCAGGGCAGAGCGCGAGGGAGGCCTTGCCAGGTGTGCCACGTGGCGTGCAAGAATTCTACCAGAATGCACAATTCATTTAACTGTAGCTGGGACATGAGGACATGCAGGGTATAAGTCCCCAGTGCTTCTGTGACCTCTGACCCATGTGTGTGTGTGTGCTGAAATGTTAGTGTTCAGTTTGCCTGGGGTATTTCTTTTCTTTTTTCTTTTTAGCTGGAGTCTCGCTCCATTGCCAGGCTGGAGTGCAGTGGCACGATCTCGGCTCACTGCAACCTCTGCCTCCCTGGTTCAAGCAATTCTCCTGCCTTAACCTCCTGAGTAGCTGGGACTACAAGCGCACGCCACCATGCCCAGCTAATTTTTGTAGTTTTAGTAGTGACGGGGTTTCAGCATGTTGGCCAGGATGGGCTCAATCTCTTGACCTCATGATCCGCCTGCCTTGGCCTCCCAAAGTGCTGGGATTACAGGCGTGAGCCACTGCGCCCGGCCGGTATTTATTTCTTAGCTAAGGATTTGGGCCATTTATAAGGCTCCAGAGTGGACAGAATCCCTCCCTCCTTCCCCCCATAGAGGTAATTCTGCAAAAAAGAGAAGTGTATTTACTACTGACACAAAGTGATTCATGGAGTCAACATATAACAGCCACCTCTGGGAGACCTGGGAGATAGACAGGAAGATCCACATAGAGTAAGAAAAGGCCTCTTAAAAATGGAAAAAGGAGAGAGAGGTGACTAGGGGAGGAAGAGCCCTGGATGGGGAATAGGACAACTAGCATTCAGCTTTGCGCTGCACAATTTACTGCTGTGTGTCCTTGGGAAATTCACTCCCCTTCTCTGAGCCTCTCTTAACTTGAAGGATGGGGTGGGGAATAACCCCTGCTTTGCTGATCTTAAGAGGCCACTGTGAGGACTGGGATTTTTGCCTGTACCGTGCTTTATAACCATAGGGTTTGTGAATTACTGCTGTATATAGGCCTGTCTAAAAGTAAGGGGCTGACGTTATTATTTATCATCCAAAGAATGAAGAGTGGTGGCAGCACAGGGGGCAGCAGGTTGGCCCATACCTGGGATGGATCCCGGCCCACTTCCCCACCCTATTCCCTCCACCCATGGTTGGGGCAGTGAAGGACAGGGTTGACGTTGGCGGCGCATTTGCGCATTTGGTGCCGGGAGGAGCAATTGCTAGCAGCCAGAGAGCTCGGCCCCGAAATAACGCGCTTGGGGGAGAAGGAGCAGTCACAGCCCTGACCTGCCTGCAGCGAGCTGGATCTCCAGGTGGTGCAGGAAGATGGATTTGCTGAACTCAAAATCGAGACGGAAAGCCACCTGCAAGGAAGCAGTCCGCGCATCTGGGCATTGCCTGGACCAGCCCTGCCCACTCCCCACAGACCCTGCCGGCTTGGGGACAGGGAGCTTGCTGGGGGCTGGGGGGCTGCTGGTTGGGAACAGGCTGGGAAAGGGAGGACCAGGTGCTAGAGAACGTGAGCTGAGCTTCGGGGCTGCTATGGGGACACAGCCAAAGACAACAGCTCCCACAATGGGGTGTCTTGGGGCTGAACCAGTCCCTCTCCCTCTTCCTCTTGTTTTTAATGAAAGCAACCAGAAAGCAGGGGAGGCAGCTCCAGACTCGGTCTGCAGGATTTTCAGGGTAGGGGGCCTTGATGGCAGGAAGGGCTGATGGCCATTGCCATGTACCACAGGATGTAGGGGCCAGAAGCGTTTGGTAGGACCGCCTTGTCCACCTCTTCTTTGTGTGTGGCGGGGAGGGGATGGCCCAAAGGTTGGCAGCCACCCCGCAGGTCAAGGCATCTGCCCCTCTCCTGGCAGCGCTCCTGCCACACTGCTTACCTGGGCCCTGATGCTCCCCTTCGCCCAGCGTGGGGAAACATGTCACCGTCCTTGCCTCCTCCACCTGGGGGCATTACTGGGGCTTTGCACAGACCCCTGCTGCTCTCCCAGGTCTCACCCTCCAGAGGTTTCTCCAGGAGACCTCAGCAGTCCCCTTCTCAGCAGGAGTGGCTGGGCATGGGTGGGGAAGCCTGGGCTGTGTCCTGCTCCATCCCCACTCCAGAGCTCCTGGGTTTGTCTATGCTTCAACCCAGAAGCTACTCCTTCAACTTCTGTCTCACTGGAAAGGTGCTTTTCTAAGGAGCCCTCATCCCCGCTCCCATATCTTTGTCTTTCCCCAGCTGTGCAGACCCTGCTCCTGGGAGCACTGCTGTTGCCTAGCTGGCTCCTGCCACAGCTCCTCTCTGATTCCCAAGTCCAAGCAGCTTGGCCTCAATTAGTTCTGCTGCTCCAGAACCTTCTGTGGCTGCCCGTTGCCCAGGGCTGATGTCCAAACAGTCCCTGCAATCTGGCACCTCCTTCCCTTTCTCAGCGACTTTGTTTCTCCCTTCACACACTGACCTTCTATTCACATGCAGTTTTTTTGTTTTGAGACGGATTCTCACTCTGTCATCCAGGCTGGAGTGCAGTGGCACGATCTCAGCTCGCTGCAACCTCCACCGCCCGGGTTCAAGCGATTCTCCTGCCTCAGCCTCCCGAATAGCTGGGATTACAGGCATGTACACCACTCATGGCTAATTTTTGTATTTTTAGTAGAGATGGGGTTTCACCATCTTGGCCAGGCTGGTCTTGAACTCCTGACCTTGTGATCCATCGGCCTCGGTCTCAGCCTCCCAAAGTGCTGGGATTACAGGTGTGAGCCACTGCGCCTGGCCTCACATGTGCTTTTAAGCACCACTGGGTGGTAAGTGCTCATGAAATGTAGTTTCTCTCCCCATCCCTCCCCATACACAGCACAGAGGCAGAGACCAGGAATGTGAAAAACTTGTGAGGGTGCAGAACAGTGGAACTGGCTAAGGGCGGGTGGGAGACTAGTGGCTGAGAGTGATAGGAATCCTCTCTGAGTTAAAGGGTGGGCTGGCAGCTTGGGGCTGACTGGCTAATTAGGTCACTTGAATGTCATTTCATAGGAGAAAAAGAAAAGCCGACCCAGGTCTCCCACCCCTCCCTCATCTTCTTTGTTCACTCCTGTGGCTCTTGCTGCCCTCCCGAAACTCCCTGCGCCTCCCAGTGCCCACCCTGGCCCTCCTCCACACCGTCCCCAGCCTCAACCTTGGCCTTGGCCCGGAAGAAGGGGTAGCTGACATTGCAGACTTTCTTCTGGAGCGTCCTCTCCTCGTTCACGCACTCGATGCTGCCGTCTGAGTCCTCCTGGAGGTGGGTGGCAGAAGTTAGGTGGGGGCTGGGACCAGGTCTGGAGGCTCCTTCACCCCCAGCCTGCAGCCCCTCCCCAGGGCCGCCTCAACCTCTGATACCCATACGGAAGCCCGGACCATAGCCCTTCTGATGTCTGAGACCCCAGAGGCTCCAGAGACTGGGATGTGGCCTGGTTCCTGGTACTTGGCATGACACGGGGCGGGGCATACTCAGAGGCTGTCAGGTTGGGGGAAGAATGGCAGGCAGGGGTCACATATGTGCTTTGTCATTTACTCTGGTTCCCCCAGTGCAGGCCGATCACCCCATTATAGTTGGGGACACTGAGGCCCAGAGGCGGGAGGTGTGGCTGGGAACGTAATCCTCGTAACAGCTAGACGAGGTAGTTACTGTCATCCTCATTTAACAGATGAGCAAAATAAGATGCAAACATAGTCAACGATAAGGGATTGTATGTCTCAAAATAGCTGCAAAAGAGGGTTTTATAGGTCCCTACCACAAAGAAATGAGAAACATTTGGGGTGATGGGTATGCTAATCACCCTGATTTGATCATTACGCAATGTATAAGTGTATTGATACCTCACATTGTGTCCCATAAATACACAGAATTATGAATGACAATCAGAAAAAAAATTTTTGAGACAGAGTCTCGCTCTGTCACCCAGGCTGGAGTGCAGTGGCACGATCTCGGCTCACGGCCATCTCCGCCTGTCTCCCAGGGGCAAGCAGTCCTTCTGCATCCGCCTCCTGAGTAGCTGGAATTACAGGTGAGCACCACTACACCCAGCTAACTTTTTTTGTATTTTTAGTAGAGACAGGGTTTCACTATGTTGGCCAGGCTGGTCTCGAACTCCTGGCCTCAAGTCATCTGTCTGCCCCTGCCTCCCAGAGTGCTGGGATTACAGGCATGAGCTACCACACCCAGCCAAAAATGTTTTCCCTCTTCAACTCAGCCACCCCTTTCTCAAGGGCCACGGCCAGTGAGTGACCTGCTGTGCAAAGTGAATGTGATCAGACTGACACATCTGTACTTGGCTGAGAGGGGTGCTTTCTCTGCTAGAGTTCCTCTTGGCTGGATGCTGGGGAGACAGAGGAGAGGCAGGCTGACCTCGCAGCCTGGGCTGGGGATGGGTGGCGGCACCTGTGAAGGAGTCAGGCTCCAGGCTAGCCCTGCACCCCTCCTGCTGTGTGTGGGGACAAGAGAACGTGTCTCCCGCTTCTCTATACCTCCTCTCATTTCCAAAAGCCCTTCTGAGCCACAGAAACAAGCTCCATGATTGTCTCCCCTGGGTTTAGGAGCAGGCACAGGACTGGCCTTGTGAAGTCCGAGCCAGGGCAGCAGGGGAAGGCGGATGCTGTGTGAGGCTTGATTCCCTCTGTGTACCTGAAATCCAGACAGACACAAGTCCCCGGGCAGGAGGGGACTTTGAGAGACCATCACGCGGGCTCTTCATCATCAGCCTGGGCTGTCACTCGGTGCAGTGGAGAGGGAGTGGGGTTGGGGACCAGGCCTGGGCCTGACAGAAGGGACTGTGGCTGCAGATAGGCCTTGAGGTCTGTGTGAGGATGAGGGAGCCTACTGCGGGGAGGAAGAGGGGACCCGAGCAGGCAGCTCCTCGCTTTCCTGGGGTGGCCTCCTTCCACTCAGCTTTTTCTCCTGGCTACAGCAACTGCTCCTGTGTGTGTGGCAGGCAAGAGGGCCCTGGGGGAGGGGTGCTGGGCAGTGGCCCTGCGTGGAGGAGAGGACAGTCTGGCTCAACACCTGTCTTGCCTGCACACTGCATTCCACATGGACACTGACGTCCTTGAGGACAGAGGCTGTGTCTGAGGGCCCTGGGACCCCAACACCCACTCATGACATTGACGTCTGAGTTGACTCAACAAATGTGTCTTGAGGGCCTTCTACGTGCCCAGCTCTGACACAGACTAAGGGGCAGGGCTCTAGCTAAGGCAAGGCTCTTGCTCCCTGGGGGTCCAGCACTTGGAGACTGCTGTTTCCTCCGAGCTCATGAGGGCTGTGCCGGATGCTGTGCAGGCTGGAGAGCTGCCTGTGGCCTTGGGGGGCTCCAGGAAGGATCCCCAGAGGGCAGGGCATGAGGACTATGCTTTATCACGAAGTGCAGGCTCGGGCGCCAGCTATGGGGTGGGAATTCTGCTCTGCCTCACCAGCTGTGTGGTCTTAGGCAGGCCTTAACCTCTCCCCATGCCTCAGCTTCCTCCTCTGTGAAATGGGACCACCACCACTACTGCTATGCCTGAGGTTGCTGCAAGGGTTGAATGCATGCCAAGTGGTAGCACGGCGCTGGACGCCGTGTGGGCAGTAGGTGGATGGTCACCAAGTAGGAGCAGGAGCCTATTGGGCAGTGGAGAGAGGAGTTTCAGGTGGCGGCCATGATGGGAACGAACAGGGCATGCTGGGAAACAGGGTGGCCTGTGGCAGGCTTAGGGGAGAAGTGGTAGGTGGTGGGTGGGACGGGCATTGGCTGCCACAATGGGGAGCCTGGAGTTTGCTCTGACAGCAGCTGGGAGTGATCAGAAGTTTAAGGTGGGGAGGAACCGGTTCCAATTCTTGTCAGAAGGGCCTTCCGAGCAAGCCCGCAGGTGCGCTGTTGGTAGGAGGGGTGGATGGCTCGTAGCACCTGTGGTGTGTGCCCCTGACCAGGGCCCAGGGGATGGGCTGAAGGGTATTCCTCCCCATGTTCCCAAAAGGCTCAGACTCCCCTGATGCCGGTGCTTCTCAGCCCTGGCTGCACACTGGTCACCTGGGGAGCTTTAAAAGCCTCGCGATGCCAGGCCCAACCCCAGAGCAAATCAGTCAGGATCTCCAGAGGAGGAGTCTGGGGGCAGGCTTTTTAAAGCTCTCCTTGGATTCTTTTTAATTACTTTATATATTTTTGTAGAGATGGGGTCTTCCTATGTTACCCAGGCTGGTCTCAAACTCCTGGGCTCAAGTAAGTGATCCTCTCACCTCAGCCTCCCAAAGTGGGAGGATGACAGGCATGAGCCACCGCACCCAGCTCCCTCGTGATTCTCACGTGTCGCCAGGACCCCGCCTGACCTTCCTTCTCCTTTGTGCCAGGTAGCCTGGGCAGCTCGCTGAGCTCTTACCTTCTGGATCAAGCTGGCAAACTGCAGGTTTGCTGACTGTGAGATATTCAGGATCGTGCTGTACGCGTTCTCGCCCCTGTTCTCCAGTGTGGCCTCCACCGCCACGCGCCGGCGTGTGCTCTCTATGATGAAAACCGCGGTGTCGAAGGACAGCATATATGCGGAGCAGTCCTGTGCGGCTTTCCTCAGCACCCTCTGGCAGTAGTCCCTGAGAACAAGAGAGCACCAGAGACTGGGCAGATGGAATGAGGACAGCAGGGGTAGAGGGGAACCCCAGGGTTAGGGCAGAAAGGCAGATCTGGGCACTTGACTGGCCTCTGCTCATGGGAAGAGCCACTAGGAGAAGGGGGGAAATGATGGCAGGCCTGGAAAGAGCTCACCCTTCAAGACCATTTCCTGTTTCAAAGGCCCTTGGTGTTCCCACCATACTCATCATAGCCTCCTCTGAACCGAGAGCTCTTCTTTGACCTCACCACTCACGCATCACCACTCCATGCTTCATGTTTCCCTTTTGGCCTTGGCTGCCAGGAAACTCAGCACTCATGTAGAGATAATCCTGATTTTAGCCTAGCTGGTTAGAATATGTACTCCATTATCCTCCTACAAGGTTTGGACATGCTATTTCAATTTATTGTCTGTCACAGTTATATATGTTTTCTACCTAAATCTTCTCACAGTTGGATCAAAGTTAAGCATAAATTATTGGAAAATATATTACATAAATTTAAAATATGATATTGCTCATTACTTTCCCTTGCATGTTAGTTTGTCCCTTCCAGGGGATTGTACGGCTCCTGCTCACCCTCTGCTGGTGTCCCTGGCGTCTTTCCATTAGAAGGATTGGAAAGCCCAAAGTGTTCAGCCAATGGGCCCTAGAGATTATCTCATCTGAGTTGGAGACAAAGCCTGGACTAGAACGCAGGCTCCAAGTTCGTGTTTGATCCACACTGCCTGTGAGGAGGATGCCCAGGAAATAATCCAGGGCCCCAGGAGTTCCAGAGCCTCTGGCAGTGAAGGGGAAGGGGCACGGGTCGGGGTGGAAGGAGCCGACTCACATGGCTGTGGGCAGGTCACTCCGGGCATCCAGGACAAGGTCAGGGACGCAGTGCTCATCCTCATTGCAGCCGTTCCAGAAGGGCACCTGGGCCAGGGAGAGCCGGGTGTGGGCAGCAGGGTAGGGACCCACAGCCCCTCGCATCTGTCTCCACCACACTAGACATGGGCTGGCTTTCCTGCACTTTCCCCAGATGCCAGACTGCTTTTTCTTGTGCTTCTGCATAGATGCTTCCCTCTTTAAAATGAGGCTCAAAACTCAGCTCCTCCTGGTTGCCTTCCAGTTCATAACTGAGCTGACAGCACAGACCCCCGCCTCCCCGCCACTCACCCAGCACAGCCGTTCTGATCAACATTTATTGATCATCTACTGTGTGTGGGTGAGGGCTTTGGTACCAGGGATATGAAACAAAGAAGGGGCTTCTGCACTCAGCTCATGGGGAAGATTAGGGAATGAACAAATAACTTGTGTAAAATGTGCAAAAAACCCAAAAGAAGTGTGCATGAGGAACAGAAGAGGCAGAAGAGAAATAGCTGTTTTGGCCTGTAGGAAGTCAGGGAGGGCTTCAGGGAAGTGACAGTGGGTCCGAGTTCTGAAGAATGGTCAAGGTAGCTGGGTGGACTGGGGTGGAGGGTGGAGAAGCCCAGGAGGAATGCAGAGGCCCTGGGGCAGGAGCACACGGTGAGTCTGGGTAATGATGGATAGGTCAGTGTTGCTGTGGTAAGAGACGGGGGGCGGGGAGATGAAGAGATGGGCAGGGGGCTGTGACCTTGAGGGCCTTGGGGTCATGCCTTGCAACTGGTAGGAACTGCCGAGTGCCTCAGGCAGGGAGTGTCCCGACAGCCCTGTGTTTTGAAGGCTGCCCTGGCTGATGTGGGAGAATGGAGTGAGCAGATGGAAGCTGGAGGCAGGGAGACCACTGAGGCAGCTGCGGCAACATTTGGGTGAGAGCCGATGCTGGTGTCAGTGTGGTGGTGGGCATGGGAGGAGAAAATAGGTCAGTGACCCCAGAGGCGGGATCCACAGGAACCTGGAGGTTGTCGGGGCTGAGGGAGAAAGGGGTCCAGGGGTGTCGGCCGAGTTACTTTTTAGGTGTCTGGAAGGATGGTCATGGCATTTGTTAATAAAAGCAGGGGTTGGCTGGGTGCAGTGGCTCACACCTGTAATCCCAGCACTTTGGGAGGCTGAGGTGGGCGGATCACTAGAGGTCGGGAGTTTGACACCAGCATGGCCAACATGGTGAAACCCTGTCTTTACTAAAAATACAAAAATTAATTGGGTGTGGTAGTGGTGCGCACTGATAATCCCAGCTAATCGGGAGGCTGAGGCAGGAGAATCGTTTGAACCTGGGAGGCGTAGGTTGCAGTAAGCTGAGATCGTGCCATTGCACTCCAGCTGGACAACAGAGCGATACTCCATCAAAAAAAAAAAAAAAGGCAGGGATTAAGTGGAGAAGTTCAGTGTGGGGGCACGTTGAGTTCTAAGTGCCTGTGGCCCACCCGGGGCAAGGACCTCAGCAGGCAGCTGGACAGTCAAGCCTGGAGCTGAGGGGCAGTAACTGTGACTATCAAGACACAGCCCAAACCAGGGGCAAGGAAACAGGTGTCACAAAGTCATGTGTATCTTAAATTCATTAACTTTTCTTGAAGGAGAGCTCTCCGGCCCTCACTGAGATCCACGGGCTCTTGCTTTAGGCATGGTTCTACCCATCACACCCCTCGGCTCCCCACCGCATGGTGCATCTGCAGCTAGAAGCAGGCCAGCTGCCATGGCAACCAGCAGAGCCATATCCAGGGGTCACCATAGAGCTGTACTGAGATGTACTGAGACTCAGAGTGGTGGGAAAGGGACTTAGTTCATCCTCTGATTGTATGCTGCCTCTCGCCTGGCCTGGGCTGCTCATCGGTGTGAGAGCAGGGATTACCCTGTGTGTTAATCTGCACTGTGGGCTTCAGCATGCTTGTGGGATGAGTGCCATGTACTCATTCATTCGCCATAGTGACTTTGTAATTACTGTGGGAGGACCAAAATGACTTAGTGCACCCAGCTTTCCCCTTCTCCTGGCTCACTAATGAGGAATCCAGCATTGCCAGCCCGGGGCTGCAGACTTAGGAGAAAAGGGGGAGCTGTCAGGACAGGGGTTTGGCGGGGGCTGTGGGGGATGATGAGTGGCAAGGAGAGAAGGGGAGGCTTTCAGGGGCATTGCTGTGGACTGTACAGTCCTTTTCTGGTGTTGAAGAAATGCAGGTAAGAACCTGAGTCATTCTGAAACTGCTTCCTGGCCAGATTCTGGCACTCATACAGACATTACTCAGTGACTGGACCTCACAGAATGGCTTAAGAGTGCCATGGTGTGTTCACAAGTTGTTTTTCTAAATCCTCAAGGTTCAGGCATTAGCTCTTCCATTTTACAACTTCGCCTGCTCTCACAGCACAGCAGCAGAATTGAACATTGCCTGACATTTTCCTTGAGTGGGATTTACATGGAGTTGCAGCTGCAGAGAGCATCTGAATGTTAGATGCCAAACATTTTGGATGCCTCTAGAGCCAGGGATTAGACAGTGTGGTTGAGGGATGGGGCCACTTCTTTTTGGAATATTCAGTCACTCTGCGAATAAGTTAGTCATCCAACAAGCAGAACCCCAGCTCTGAGTGGCTGTCTCTCTCTGGTCTCCACTGTCCTCATCTGTCGAGGAGGGAGGTGGGTGATTAAGATCTCAGGTCCCTTCTCATCCAGTGGTTCACTATATTTCTCCACAGCTCACCCCTTGCTCCCCTGTGCTGGGGATATGGGGAACCTTGAACAGGAGAAGGCCTGGGCCTTGCCCTCGAGGAACCAATCTGCTAATACTCAGCACAGGCCTCGAGGGAGGAGGGAAGGAGCCAGCCACATTGCGAGTTTGCCGGGACAGGAGGTAGGAAGGTGAGGGGAGGGATGGTGTCCTCTGTGCCCGGCACACTCAGGCCAATTCCACACATCAGGCTGGGCTTTAGGGAGGAGGTGGGGTGGGGGTGGGGTTCGTGCCCGAGGGGCGTGCCCTGTACCGACATGTACCGAGACTCTGAGAGTGGTGGGCCAGCCGTCGTCCAGCATGGGGCCGTGGTCAGGGTCCTCCAGGGAATATTCCACTGAGAAGGCCACTGGCTTCACGTAGTCAGCAGTGTCCTGGGGGTGGAGAGGAGGGCAAGGGTGAGGGAGGAGACATTACTTTCTGGGCCAGGACCATGGATGCTGATGTAGACTGCCACCTTGCTAAGGTGGCAGGGCAGCTGCCCTGTCCCCTCAGGATGAGTCTGCGGGTGGATGGAGGTTCCTGGCGGGTCTGTTGTGGGAAGTGTGTGCCTCTATGAAAGGAGCTCCAAGCCCTGCTCATGCCAGCCCAGCTGCCCGGCCGTTTCGCCAAGCTCCTGGGCATCCTTCAGGGCCGGGCTCCCATTGCCCCGATACCTCGGCCTCCAGGATGCCTGGCAGCGCCAGCCCGCCTCCTACGCCACCCACCACTCTGTTCAGACCAGTTACTCCCGCTGCTCACCTGGCTTTTGAACTGTCTGACTGTGTGTCACTTCCCTCCCAAGCCGGGAAGAGGCCTGGGGCCTCCCAGCAGGGCCCCAGCACTGTGGTAAGGGCTTCAGCATGTGGAATTGGTGAATGAACAAACTCATGAGCAAGGCAGAGGCACTCAGGCTGGTTCTGAGCACAGATGGTAAGTAAAGGGGTTGCTTAGAGCTGCCTAAAAAGTCCCCCCTGGAACCTGCAGTCCCTGATTTTATAAAGGCGGTGGCTCTCAAACCTGAGCTGGCATCAGGGTCCCCTGGAAGCCTGTTAAAACACGGGGCGCTGGCCGCACTCCCACTGAGTCAGAACATGTGCATTTCCAAGTCTGGGGGGAGGGATGAGGACGCTGCTGGTGTGGATGTGTGGGAGGCCCCTTAGCAGGCATGCGCCTTCTCACACCTGCTCACGTCTCTGACCTCTGGCCATTGAACTCCTGGGGCCAGGTGGGTTTCGAGTGCCCCTGCTTGTGTCTCTGAGGCTGGAGCTGTGAGCTGGGCATTTGGTATCTCTGGATAGACGTAAACCTCTCATCCTCTTCCTTAGCTAGAAAATGGGGCACCAGGCCACTACCCTGCTCGTGACATCAGTGGCGCTCCTCTCAGTCTCTCTTCTCATTTTATACATGCCACTGCCTTCTGGACCTGGCCTTCATTGTTAGCTGCTGCCTGCTTATCCCTTCCTTTGGGGCCGTGCCCCCCACCAGCTGCTCCCAGTTTTCTCTGCTGGACCTACTGGGCCCACCTTCCTCCTGTTGGCATCTGAGGGGATGGGGATGTGGGATGGCCAAGGTCAGGGACACTGTCCCCGACTGGCTTCCTGAGGTCTGCTGGGGGCTCAGAACCAGCCAGTCACGAGGTGGACTCTCTGCCTCTCCCTCGGCAGGTGCTCCTTCCTGTAGGAGCTTGGGCTCTGCGGGTGTGGCTGCCAGCTCACCAGGACATGGAAGTTGATCCGCTCACAGAGCTCCTGGCCGGAGGAGAGCAGAACGGCCCTGTTGGTGAATTGGTCCCCGCCCTCGTCCAGGTGGGCCCTCGGTGTATACCGCCTCTCGTCCATGGTGGCGTTGTATCTGATGCCTGCAGGAGGGGAGAGGGCAAGACCACAGAGGCAGAGCCACATGCATACCCAAGACTGTCTGCCTCCTCCAGGAAGCCCCCTAGGCTGGCCAGGGGACAGCTGTTCCTCTCTTCTCACAAGGCCCAGGGTGGGTGGGAAACTCCCACATGGAGAACAAATGATTGCATGAGGAAGGGAAAGGAAGGAACCAAAGAAAAGGGGGAGGCTGAGGGTGGAGAACAAGCAAGAGGAAGAAATGGAGGGAAAGTGAACACCGCAGACGAGGGGAGACAGGATGTGGGCCAGGGCGGTCCCCCTGCTGCGTCAACACCCCCCTCTGCCTCTCCCTCCACCTTCCCTTTCTCTCCCTGGGCGCTGGGATCCCCCTTAGGGCTGGTCAGAGCCTTTGCTGGGTGCTTCCTCTCACACCAAGGAGGGCTGGCCAGCCCCTTCCTGATGGATCCTCAAACCTTTGACTCCACTCTGGGGCATAAAGCCTGCAGCCTCCTCCCCTTCCATTAGGTTTTGCCAATTCCAGGAAAGGCTCAGTCCCTTCTCCTGCACCCCAGCCGCCCGCAGGCTGCTCCCGGCCGGCCCCAGGCCCTCCTATCTGTCTCCTCTCAGGGAGGGATGTTGAAAGAGAGGGGCACAGCCCCCAGGCTCGCCTTTGTTCTCATTTTCCCTTTGTTCTCTTCTTTGTGTGATCCTGCTGCTTGGTTGAGACACTCCCTGAGCCCCCACTCCTGTGCCAGGGCAGTAGTCCTGGCACCTGCAGTTCACTTCTTGAGACCACCTGGGCCCGGGGCTGGCATGAGCAGGTGTCTGATTCAATACTTAGCTGGAAGTGATGGACCCTCAGAAGGAAACTGCCCTGCTGGGGGCTCACATCCACTTCTGAGTGGGGCTCCCTGCTGCTGGGGTCTCAGTGGCCTGGCCTCTGGTTTCCCGCAGCCCCTCTGCAGACTCCTGGGTCTACCTCTTCCCCTGCGTCCAGGAGGGCTTCTGGGCTTCCGTACCCATTTTGCTCCACTGCCATCAGCCCTGTGTTCTGATCCAAACTCTGTGCCCAGACTGTGTCCTTCTTCTCCCATCCTCTCTGTCATTATCACCCCGGCTCACTGCCACCCTCACTCTGGCATGACGTCCCCTCTTTGTCCTTTGGAATTGCAGCACCAGATGGGATCCAGCAGTCACCCAAAGTGCCTGTAGGGCGACCTGGCACTTAGCGCCCATTTTGGGAGAAGCCCAGGCTTTGAAACAGAGCAAGGTGCAGGGGGGAGGCTGGAGCTGGGGGATGGGGAGAAAGGAGGGGCCTGCTTTACCAACAGTTGTCGTTTGGAAATGGGGTGCCAGGAAGATGGGCGTGAAGCAGAGGAAGGCGGCCAGGCAGGTGGCATCCCTGCCACTTCGCTTGCAGTCCCTGTGGAAGATGTTGATCTTGGAGGGCTCAAAGTGGAGGCTGGCATTGATCTGAACCACAGGGCGGGACCTGGAGAAGAAGTGCCGGTGAGCTGGGGTGGGGCAGGGACTCAAGCTGCCCTGCTGTGACTGTGGGGAAGGACAGGATCTGCAAAGCCACTGGAGGCCGTGAGGTGGAGGATGGAGGGGGCTTCAGATGTCAAAGGATGGGCAAGAGTGAGCACAGGGGATGAGGGGCTCAGCCACCTCACGGTCCCTCCGTGCAGCCCCTGCTGACTTCCCTTGCCCCTCATCGCCTTTTATAGCAGTGGTTCCCCACCCTGGATGCATATCTGAGTCATCTGAAGAGCTTAAAAAAATCCTGGTGCCTCAGCTATGCTCTAGGCAAAATCACATCAGAATCAGGCCTTAGCAGGTTTCAAAGCATTACCTCTGAAATTTTCATACGTTTGCACGCCCCCTGGGGATCGTGTTAAAATGCAGATTCTGATCCAATAGCTTGGCACAGATTTTGCATTTCTAACAAGCTCCCAGGTGATGCTAACTTCCATGGACCACACTTTGAAAGAGGGAGGTGTTAACGCTCCCCAGGTGACTCCAGCGTGCAGCCAGCACCGTCCACCCCCACACTACCCCATCCAGGTAACCAAGGAAATACAAATTTACCCTTACATCCGTCTAAGTCAAATGTAATTAGGAATCTGTCGTCTCTCCCAACCATGAATGTATATACAAAGAATCACGAGCAGAGTGGCTTAGATGATCTGTGCTGATTCTCTGTTCTTAGCATCAAGGGGGACAGCGCCTCTGCGCTGAAGAGTGAAAGGTTGGATTTGAGTCTGGGTTCCACCAGTTCCTCGCTAGACCTTGGCAGGTCACATGATCTCTGTGATGAGGGATTGTGAGGATCAGTGGAGGTGAGAATGTCCTTTGACAGTGTGGAATGCTGTGTCAGCACAGTACGTTACGTCTGAAGTTCTCAAACTTGGCAGCCCGTTGGAATCACTTGGGGAGTTTTAAAAAAATTACTGCTGCCCGGGTCCCTCCACAGAATTTTGCTTTAATTGGTCTGGGCAAAGCCTGGGCAATGACATTTTAAAAGCTCCCCTGGTGATCTAGGGCAGTCATGTTTGAGAACTATGGGGCTTGACCATCAAGTCTTCCCAGAGGGCTGTGGCCCACAGTTTCATCACTATTCAGGGAGCATACAGGTGTAGACTTCAAAAGTTAGAGCTGGATCCAGTTATTTCTGTGAAACTGATTCTCCTGGAGTGTGTGTGTGTGCATATGTGTATCTTGCTTCTGGGGTTTTGCTCTTGTTGCCCAGGCTGGAGTGCAATGACACAGTCTCGGCTCATTGCAATCTCTGCCTCCCATGTTCAAGTGATTCTCCTGCCTCAGCCTCCCGAGTAGCTAGGATTACAGGCATGCGCCGCCATGCCCAGCTAATTTTGTGTTTTTTAGTAGAGATGGATTTTCTCCGTGTTGGTCAGGCTGGTCTTGAACTCCTGACCTCAGGTGATTCGCCTGCCTCAGCCTCCCAAAGTGCTGGGATGACAGGCATGAGCCACCGCGCCCAGCCGGTGTTCATGTGTTACTTTAAAGACCTGCTATGTTCTGCATACCCGCCTCCCCGGGCCTTGGTGATTTGCCTTGCTTTCTTGACTGGAACCAACACAGTGAACACCTTTACCATGCCTTGCAAGCCCAGGCTGCTGTTGCTGCCACCACCACCACGACCATCAAGGACCTAAGGGCCACCAGACGTGGCACAGGCCTTTGAAGAGAGACAGGCCATGCTCCTGGGCACTGGCTGGGCTGCACCTGCCCTGGCCCTGGCTTCCCAGTGCTGCCTAGAAGGCCAGGTGACATCACCAGGAGTGTGGGGTAGCAGATGCTCTGACCATGACAAGTGAGGGATCTGAAGGAGCCACAAGTCTGCTGCTTCCCCTTCTTCCCCTACAATGGGCTGTTTTATGCCACATTGGGAATGCTGAGGTGCTAAGCAAAGAGCAGCACGCGTGGCGAAGCCAGGCTGGCCCGCTTGCCAACTGTGCTCCCTTCCAGCTTCACCCCACTTCCACGGCATTCACAGAGGCTTTTGCCTCAGGTTCTGTTTTCTAGAGAACCTGGAGGAAGACATCTCCCCCTTGAGGTTGTAGTAGTCTTGTGAACAGGAGCCTAGCCTTTCCTGTATGCTCCCTGTGAAGTTATAGATCTCTGTTCAATGCCTTTTTAAAGTTATAGGGCAAATATGATTGCATTTGTATAAAATCATAAGTAGGGGGAAAAAGGACAGGGAGGAGATACGCCACAACGTTAATAGTGGCATTGGCAAGGTGATGGCAGGCCGAGTGATTTTTTTTCCCTTATTTTATAAATGTTCTTTATGTTATTGTATTTATGATAAAAATGTCAACATATTTGAAAAAATACTCAAGGTTTTTTGGCTCAAAAAGTAGCCAACATATGGTAAAATAAATGGGTGTTTAGGAAGCATGAAAATGAGCCCCTGAAGAAGGGAAACAAGAAGTCAGAGGGCTTTGGAAGAAAGAAATCTCTGCACTAAACATTCCTCCACGCCAGGGGAGATGGAAGGCCCTCCCAGCTGGTGAAAATATGCTCAGCTGGCTCCTGACAGTGTTAGAGATTGAAAAGTTGAAGCGGAAAGACGCGCCTCAGTAGCCAGAACTTTTAGGACAAATTTTAAGAGTGGGGGCTTTTGGACAGGACTTCAATTTATATTGAATTTACACTGATTTCACGAAAAGAAAATGTGTAAGCAAGATGCGCTAAGAACAGGGTGAGTCTAGCTGTCTAGCTGAGGGTGGTTCAAGTCAAGGGACAAAGATCCTGAAGCCTGTCTTCAACCCCCGCATTCATCATGACCTTCAGAAGAGCCCAGGAGGCGGGATCAGTGGGGGAACCAACCACAGAATCACAGCGTTGCCAAGGGCGCCCACTGCCAGGTCGATGAGCCCATCCTCATTGAGGTCCAGTTGCCCGTGGATGCTGCAGCCAAAATACTGGAGGCCGGTAGCCAGCTCTGAGGCAGTGATTCTCTGCAGGGAGTGGGAAGAGAGGGGGAGGGCATGCATGCTGTGGGTGTGGGGGCAGGTAGCCCTGAGCGGCAGGAGCAGTCAGGAGCCTGTTTGAAACCACCAAGAAGCTTCCCCAACCCGAAGCAATCTCCTCTCCTGGCCTGTCCTGGCACCTGAAATTCCTACCATTCAAGTCATTCGTTTGGATTAAGATATTGTGTCTTAAAAGAGCTCCCTATTAAGTGTGAATACATGTGACTTGGCAGACGGCCCATCCAAGTCTCTCACGCTGGTCTCTTTGTGAGGCTCTCTTATAAACAGCGTGTGCAAACGCAAAAGGATGATCCTCGGTGGTGGGACCTCAGATGGGTGGGTTTTGAGATGAGCACAGTTTCTAGCATGAAGCAATTCCAGAGAAGGGCGAGCCCAGAAGGGATTCTCCGCTGGTAGGCATTTGCGTGCATGTGTGTTGGTGGGGAGTGAGGGTCAGGTGCCAGGGACCTGTTGTTTGTTATTGCCGGGGGATAAAGGCAAGCAGGAAGAGGGTGCCAAAGTGGGTGACGGGAGGATCCTAAAGGTAAAATGTGTCCCCTCCTTTTTTTTTTTTTTTTTTTGAGACGGGGTTTTGCTCTTTTTTCCCAGGCTGGAGTGCAATGGAGCCATCTCGGCTCACCGCAACCTCCGCCTCCTGGGTTCAGGCAATTCTCCTGCCTCAGCCTCCTGAGTAGCTGGGATTACAGACACGCGCCACCATGCCCAGCTAATTTTTTGCAGCTTTAGTAGAGACGGGGTTTCACCATGTTGACCAGGATGGTCTCGATCTCTTGACCTCGTGATCCACCCGCCTCGGCCTCCCAAAGTGCTGGGATTACAGGCGTGAGCCACGGCGCCCCGCCCAAATGTGCCCTTTTCAAAATTTCCGCTTAGGGGAAGCATGGCCGGGATAGACTGGAATCCGTTCCCGTGAGAGGGCGCGGAAGAAAATCCCGAACCAGATGAGGCCCAGAAGCTCCTGGGTCTCCTGCAGTCCCGTTTGCTCTGCCCGCTTCGCCGGGGGTGGGGGGAGCCTGACCTGCTTTGGCGTCTTCAGGATGCTGCCCCGGAAGCCGTGGAAGATGTAGATGGCCCCCGCGTGGTTGTCCTCTAGGGGGGCTCCCACCACCACGTCATCGAAGGAATCCTGGTTGAGGTCTCGCACCGAGGCGATGGAGGACCCAAATCGGGCATTCTGGTAACTGTGCGAATCCTTCAGCGTCCCGTTATAAACAAACCGGTTCTGCAAAACCAGGCGCAGAAAAAGGCTGGGGAGGCCTTGGGGAAAGTTCCTGAGGCTCCTCCTTCCCTCTGCAGGTGCCCCGGCACCCTCTCCCTACTGCGTTCCCCCAGAACCCCCGTCTCCGGTACAGGAGCCCAGCCATGGAGGAGGCTCCGATTCTTCCCAGGCCGGGCTCCAGCACTGGCCTTGCTGGTAACCCATTTCCCTCGTGGCTCCCCAAGTCCAAGCAGAGGTTGGGGGTCCCCGAGAAGCTGCCCAGCCCCCGCCCAGCCTTACCTGTCTGAGCTCATAGACGTACACCTTGCCTCGTTCGCGGCCCTCGCTGAAGTACATGGGTGCGCCCACGAGCAGGACATCAGTCACGCCGTCGCCGTTGATGTCCACCGAGGTGATCTCACTCCCGAAGTAAGAGCCTATCTGCGCGGTGACGGGGAGAGGAGCGGGCTGGCTGCCAGCTGGCTCAGCCCAGAGCCCTTGCCGGGCCAGCAGAGGGAAGCCAAGGCCACCCTGTGACTCAGAATTCTCCTTGAACAAACGGGTCCCCTCTTCTCAGGCGCTCCCTGTCCTCTCCCTGGGGCCGACTTGCCTGTTCTGTTCGCCCTTCTCCTCTTTCCTCTTTTCCTTCTGTCATCATCCCCTCCCCACTCTTCTTTCTATTGTTTAATTTTATCGGTGACCATTTATCTTGTGTGTAAAGTGATATAATGACAAAAAATAAGGAAAATGTTTAAAAGTATGAAGAAGAAAACAAAAGTTACCCACAGTCCCGACATCCAAATATAACTACCATGAATGTTTTTGTGGATTGTCTTCTAGTTTTTTTTCCCCCAAGGCATGTTGCCTGTTTGTACATGTGTGTACATATGTTTTTATTTTTACAAATTGGGGTAATAATGCCAATATGGTTTATATACTGATTTTTAAATAAAACAATATATCACAAACATTTTTCTATGATGTGTTATATTTTTGTCTACAACATGATCACTGGTGATTCCACAGTGCTCCAAAATATGCTTGTATCATAATAAATTTTTTTTGTTTTTTTTTTGAGACGGAGTCTCACTCTGTCACCAGACTGGAGTGCAGTGGTGCGATCTCAGCTCACTGCAACTTCTGCCTCCTGGGTTCAAATGATTCTCCTGCCTCAGCCTTCCAAGTAGCTGGGACTACAGGTGCCTGCCACCATGCCTGGCTAATTTTTATATTTTTAGTAGAGACACGGTTTCACCATGTTGGCCAGGACGCCCTTGATCTCTTGACTTTGAGATCCGCCGGCCTTGGCCTCTCAAAGTGCTGGGATTACAGGCACGAGCCACTGCACCTGGCCCATAATGTATTTAATCAATGATTGCTGGACAGTTAGTTTTACTTTTTTTTTCCTTTGAGACAAAGTTTTGCTCTATCACCCAGGCTGGAGTGCAATGGTGCGATCTTGGCTCATTGCAGCCTCGAACTCCTGGGTTCAAGCGGTCCTCCCACCTCAGCCTCCTGAGTGGCTGGGACCACAGGCACTCGCCACCATGCCTGGCTATTTAAAAAAATTATTTGTAGAGATGGGGTCTCGCTATGTTGCCTAGGCTGGAACTCCTCTGCTCAAGTGATTCTCTCACCTCAGCCTCTCAAAGTGCTGGGATTACAGGTGTGAGGCACTGTTTTTTAATTTTTGATGTTCTAAATCATTCTGGCATTAGCATCGCGGCTGGTGAATGATGGTTTCTTTCAGTGCCTGAGCACTTGCTGTGCTCCCCTTCTGCTTGGGGTGCAGTCCTCCCCACTTCAGTGAGGGCACTACTCACCCCCCCATCAGAAACCCAGAAACCCTGACTCCGCCTTCCACCTCTCCCACCTGCAAACCTGCCAGCAAGTCCTACCTGGTGCATGCCAATTCACCAGCTGCTGCCCACTGCTTCTTCCCCAGGTGGAAGTTCCTCTGTCTCCCCAAGCCCCAGCTCCCAATGCAGTGCTCCTGGCTCCTGCCCAACCGAGTTACTTCTCTTCTCCAAAAGCCCCAGGCCCTGGCCAGCTTCCAGGCTTCCCTCTGCGCAAGCTTTTCTCTTGCATGCGTCCTCCCCAGATCATCCCCTGCTATCCCTCAGGTCTCAGCTGAAGTGTCACTTCCTGCTAGAGACTGTCCTTGACCTTCTCCTTTCTGCTCCCTGCCCCTTTTCTATGCCCTCTGCTCCACAGTCCTCCCACCAGCCCCCGTTCCCTCCGCTAGGAGCCCATGAGGGTGGGCACTGAGCCTGCTGCGTTCCCTCTCAGCCAGGGTACTGTGCCTGGCACACAGAAGGTGCTTAATGAATGCTTATTGGATCACTGGGTTGCTTAGGAAAGGGGAAGGTGTCCTGTTCATGGACAGGCCCCGTGTGGGATGGTTTATGGCCTTTGGTTAGGTCATGTGAGCCCCACGCTGCTAGGAGAGAGGGTCATCCTCATTTTACAGGGAAGGAGCCAAAACTCAGAGAATGGGAGCTGCTTGCCAGGGTCAGAAGGCTGGTCACCTGGTCACCGCCAAGCTGGCTGGAATTGGGGTCTGTCTGACACCCTGGCCCATGACTCTGCCTCCCCCGCCCATCTCTGGCTTGGTGTGTTTTCAGAAGAAATCTATTCTCAAGCATTAAAAGCTTTTAACTGAGGAGAAAGATAAAAATGTAGAGGAAAGGGAAATAACAGTCACGGGAGTGACAGGGAAGCCATGTGCCTACATAAAGTAACTAAGAAGCAGACAGCGAGCGAGCGAGGGAGGGGGAGGGAGAATTTGTCTAAATATGTGGCCTCAGCTATGTGGGTCACCGCGATTTGGAATCCACTTAATTTAGCTGCCTTCAGCACTGCGGTTTCTCGTTCGGATGTTGGAGGCGGAACTGGGCAGGAAAAATGTCATAAATTCATCAGCAAATTCCCTCCAGCTCTCCAGGTCTAGCCCTCGATTCCCAAAAGAGCTGGCCCTGGGTGAGTGTGGGCGGGCAGGGTGGAGGGTGAGAGCTGAGCTGCCCGGGATGGCCCAAGTCTAAGAGACGGGGAGGAATGGCAGGAGGGTGGCGCTCTGCAGCTAGAGGGATTTAGGTTAGACTCAGCGAGGAGCGAGTTCTCACGGTGACAGGCCAAGGGCAGTCAGAGATGCAGGAGACAGGGCTGTTCTCAGGCTCAGGAGAGCCGATGGGGACCTGGAGACAACATAGAAGGGCTTGGACAGCGCTCAGCTCCGGCCTAGAGAGAGCACGGATGCTGCCGGTCAGGAGGAGCCCAGGCCTGGTTTTGGGGTTCGTGGGGGCCAGGAGGAGCCCAGGTGTGGTTTTGGGGTTGTCGGGGGCCAGGAGGAGCCCAGGCCTGGTTTTGGGGTTGTTGGGGGCCAGGAGGAGCCCAGGCCTGGTTTTGGGGTTGTTGGGGGCCAGGAGGAGCCCAGGCCTGGTTTTGGGCTTGGTGGGGCTCAGGGGGAGCCCAGGCCCGGTTTTGGGCTTGGTGGGGCTCAGGAGGAGCCCAGGCCTGGTTTTGGGGTTCATGGGGCTCAGGAGGTGGCATAATGCAGGCAGCACCACCAAGAGGGTTTTTGGCTTGACCCAGTCAAGAATTTGCCGTAGAACCCTGGAAAAGCCACACTGCTTCCCAGGACCCCAGCTTCCCTCTGCGATGGAAGTGACTTGGATTGGAGCCCTGTTTTCACCACCAGTGACTCTTATCATAGCTTTCCAATGTGCAGCCATCACTGTCCAACATGGGACTCTCAGTGCACAGTCTGGCTGCCAACCGCCTTCCTGCAGGGCAGTGCCATTGGCAGCCTTCCCATTTTGCATTGCTTCCCTTCCAGGAAAAGGGAAGGAGCTGGCATCCTGGAGGACCCATGGGGCCTCTGTGGGTGGATGCACACTCCTGCCACTCCCGACAGCATGACAATGGCTGGAGGAATATGACTGCCCTTCGGGGCCCCCAGTGACCCAGGCACGCCTGTATTCACTGCCCTCCATTTGTCTGACCCTCCTCCTCTTCCATCCGTCCCTGCCCCAGCTCCCCCTTCATTACCTGCTGGCCCCGCAGAGCCTGGTGGATGGTGAGGCTCCGGTTGCTGTGCATGGTGAACAGGATGACTTTGCCCGTGTGGTTGAACCGGGGGGCTCCAGCCACGTACACCCGCCCCTGCCTGGAGGACACGACCGATGTGACTGTGTACCCTGCCACAGGAGGAAACAGGCTGATCTTTGGCACCACGTCCTCAGCAGGCCTTGCTCGGGCCCGGTGCGTGACTTGGCCATGCCAGAGGATGTACCAGGGATGGGGTAGGTTCAGAGCCAGCTAAGCAGATTCAGTCATGCAGGGCTGTAATTCCTAGGGGAAGCTGCCAGGCAAGGCCTAGGAGATGGGTTTGGAGGGTGGGGAGGACTCACTGCACCCCAGCCCTTGCTGGAGAAAATAAAGGGAGCCAGGTGGGGCTGCTAAAAGAGATCACTAACTTGAAATGCATACATCCCTCCTTCACCTGCTCATGAGCATGGCAGAGGGCAGCAGCTAGCAGAGCAGACTCTAGCCTCACTTCATTTGATATTGGGCAGACTTTGTTTTTGTTCCTCACCAATCTACACCCTTGGGAACTAACCAGGATCCTCTTTATTACCACAAATGCCTGCTAAGTGGCTCACTGAGGACTAGAGCATGTTAGCCGTGGAAGTGGAAGGAATTGATCAGCTTCAGATATTTACATGGGGTCTCAGGGGTTCTTGAAGCTCCAAAGCTTTGCAGACTCAAAGGAGGAAGCTCCTGTGAGTCCCAGACATACAGCATGCCAAAGAGAAAATGGAACCCCAGGGGCTGTTTGGAAAGGCTGCTGGTCCCTGCTCCTGGCGTGGCTGTAACTGATCGCTGTGATTCTCAAGTCGCCCACCCAGTACCCAGGAAGCAAATGTGCAGCTTCTCAGGCAGCTCTCCTGAAAGTGGGCTCCAGCAGGTGTGCAAAGCCGGTGGCATCCCAGAATCCCACTTTCTGCCAGACAACCTTGGATTCCAGATTTGAGATGGGTGTTGGGCCTTGGTGACAGTTCCTGGGCTGTTTCTGGGGAACAGATGTCTCCTGCAGTGTACGTGTGAGTGTGTGTATGCACATATATGCATGTGTGTGTAACCCTGTCACTTGGGTCCCACTGGCTGCTTCCGAGGGGCTACAGCGTGTACAGGTGAGCTGGCTCCGTGCTGGGGGTGAGCCGCTCTGGCTCCAGACACAACAGTTTTTACTCTTGAGGGTGCACTTTGGGGAATGAGGCTTGACAGGTTCATAAGACCAAGACCTCACATAGGGGTGGCTAACATGGCCAAACTATAAATATACAGGTGGGTGGGCTTAGCCCATGGTGTGGAGCACAGGTTTCTTCCAAGCTAAGCCCTCTGTGGCACGACTGACAATGTTCTCAGCGAGCCTTGGGCTTTTGGGCTTTGGAAGGAGGGCACTGACATGAAGTTGGGGTCCAAGTATCCTAGGGGCAGGCGTGGGCCAGCTCTCAAAGTTCACAGAGCTTCCTGCCTTCCAGCTGTCTGTGGGTGGTGTCTTTGGTTCCCAGGCAACTCTCTGGCCAGCAGGAAGGGCCATTCTGAGGCTGGGCCAGCCTCCTTGAAGGCCTGACGAAAGGGAAGGGATGTGGCCCGAAATCTGTATTGCACCCCCAGTGGAGGCTGGGGCTGGCCTCCCAGTCTCCTTCCCATGTAGTGCTCCTCTCCCTTGGGACATGGGAGGAATCTTCCAGCAGGCCTCTCCGCCCCAGCAGAGAACACAGACACTGCTCTCACTGGATGACTCTGAGAGGGAGGAGGAGGAAGAGAAAAGGCACTTCCTCAAGACCCCCACCCAAGGCAGTGACTGGCTAAGGCATGACAGCTGGGCCTCATGAATGTCCTTCAGCCAAGCGCCACCCCTCCAGGGTCTTCTGGGAAGCAAAGCAGGGTGGCTCTGCTGGGCCAGGGGGACAGTCATCCTGCTGTGCTCTCACTCAGATACATTCAATAGCTCCCTACTGTCAGCTTGAAAAATATCAAAGCACTTAACCTGGCATTCGAGGCTAACCTGCCCTCTCCTCCATGTTCCCACTTCTCCGCCTGCACCAGCCACGCTCTTCTACTTCTTGGGTCCTGAAATAACCCTCCCATGCCTCCCTCCTTTGATTGGCCCTCCTTGGCTTATTTGAAACGTCCCCTGCGGTGGAGACCTGGGGTAGGCTTCAGCTCCTACACAGTGGGTCCCAAGTGTACCAGCCCGCTGGGCCATGGCTGATCATGCCGTTTCTCTGACTCACTTGGAACTAACCTCAATGGCCCTGGGACATCCTGATGTGATCGGCCTTGCTGTTGAATGCCTTGTGGCACCCGTACCTGTGCCCCCTCCTTGGTTTCCTCACTTTCAGTGCAGTGCTGCTGACTTGGGGCAATCTCAAAGAAACACGAGTAATTCTAGTTTCTAGTTAAAGGGGTGCTAGCCTTTGTTCTTCCAGCGTCTTTCCCAGTGTTTGAGCATTTGCCAAGGCAAGGACTCCAATCTTTCTTTTATTTGTGCTTTTATCTGATCTCCTACCTCAATTGTGTTGTAATTATCTGTGCACGTGTCTGTGTCTCCCACGGGCCAGGAAGCAGCTTGAGGGGAGACGCTGTGTCCTGCTCACCATGGAGCTCCCATAGCATCAGCCACAGGTGCTATGTAATCCCAGTTTAACACCTTGCAAATTAAATTAACATCTTTCGAATTAAACAGAATGCAGGCCCTAGGGCCAGATGCTGTTGGGAAACTTCTAGGGATTCTATACTTCTGAATTTTCTTTTTATTTATTTATTTTTTTTGAGACGGAGTGTTGCTCTGTCCCCCAGGCTGCAGTGCAGTGGCGCGATCTCTGCTCACTGTAACCTCCCCCTCCTGGGTTCAAGTGATTGTCCTGCCTCAGCCTCCACAGTAGCGGGGACTACAGGTACCCACCACCATACACAGCTATTTTTTAGTAGAGACAGGGTTTCACTGTGTTGGCCAGGATAGTCTCGATCTCCCAACTTCATGATCCGCTCGCCTCAACCTCCCAAGGTGCTGGGATTATAGGCGTGAGCCACTGCGCCCAGCCCACTTCTGAATTTTCTAGCACAGTCCTGATTCCAGCATTTTGGGCTTTTGTCAGCGGAGGATCCTAAGGTTGGGGATGGAAAATGGGGTAACCACAGTGTGGGCAGAGTCATAGGCAGGGTGTTGGCTAAAGAGCTGAGGAACAAAGGTCAGGATGGGACAGAGCATCAGAGAGAAGACAGGCACCTGGACAGATCTGCTGTCCACTCTGGGCAGCCTCAGAGCACAGAGGACAGGACTGGGGTCCCAGGAGGCTCTAATGAGGAATACTGTTACAGACAGTGGACTTGGTTCAGAAACTCAGAAAGACCCACAGGCAATGGGGACCTGAACATCACCCCCTTTGCTGTCTTCCCCTTTGGCCCTTTCTTTAGAAAGGAACAAGTCGTAATTCGCTACATAAACAGAACCAAAGACAAAAACCACATGATTATCTCAATAGATTCAGAGAGGGCTTTTGACAAAATTCAACAGCACTTTATGCTAAAAACTCTCAATAGACTAGGTATTGATGGACTGTATCTCAAAATAATAAAAGCTTTTTACAACAAACCCACAGCCAGTATCATACTGAATGGGCAAAAACTGGAAGAAGTCCCTTTGAAATCTGGCACTAGACAAGGATGCCCTCTCTCACTGCTCCTATTCAACATAGCATTGGAAGTTCTAGCCAGAGCAATCAGGCAAGAAAAAGAAATAAAGGGTATTCATTTAGGAAAGGAGGAAGTCAAATTATCTCTATTTGCAGATGACATGATTTTATATTTAGAAGACCCCATCATCTCAACCCAAAATCTCCTGAGACTGATAAGCAACTTCAGCAAAGTCTCAGGATACAAAATCAATGTGCAAAAATCACATGCATTCCTATACACCAATAACAGACTTAAAGAGAGCCAAATCAAGAACGAACTGCCATTCACAATTGCTACAAAGAGAATAAAATACCTAGGAATACAACTAACAAGGAACGTAAAGGACCTCTTCAAGGAGAACTACAAGCCACTGCTCAAGGAAATAAGAGAGGACACAAACAGAAGGAGAAACATTCCATGCTCATGGTTAGGAAGAATCAATATTGTGAAAATGGCCATACTGCCCAAAGTAATTTATAGATTCAATGCTATCCCCATCAAGCTACCAACGACCTTCTTCACAGAACTGGAAAAAACCACCTTCAACTTCATATGGAACCAAAAGAGAGCCCGCATAGCCAAGTCAATTCTAAGCAAAAAGAATAAAGGTGGAGGCATCACATGACCTGACTTCAAACTATACTACAAGGCTACAGTAATCAAAACAGCATGATACTGGTACCAAAACAAAGATATAGAGCAATGAAACAGAACAGAGGCCTCAGAGGCAATGCCACATATCTACAACCATCTGATCTTTGACAAACCTGACAAAAACAAGCAATGGGGAAAGGATTCCCTGTTTAATAAATGGTGTCAGGAAAACTGGCTAGCCATGAGCAGAAAGTAGGAACTGGACCCCTTCCTGACACCTTACACTAAAATTAACTCCAGATGGATTAAAGACTTAAACATAAGATCTAACCCCATAAAAACCCTAGAAGGAAACCTAGGCAAAACCATTCAGGAGATAGGCATAGGCAAGGACTTCATGACCAAAACACCAAAAGCATTGACAACAAAAGCCAAAATAGACAAATGGGATCTAATTAAACTCCAGAGCTTCTGCATAGCAAAAGAAACAATCATTAGAGTGAACCAGCAACCAACAGAATGGGAAAAAATTTTTGCAATCTACCCATCTGACAAAGGGCTGATATCCAGAATCTACAAAGAAGTAAAACAGATTTACAAGAAAAAAACAAACAAACCCATTCAAAAGTGGGCGAAGGACATGAACAGACACATTTCAAAAGAAGACATATATGAGGCCAACAAACATATGAAAATATGCTCATCATCACTGGTCATTAGAGAAATGCAAATCAAAACCACATTGAGATACCATCTCACACCAGTTAGAATGGTGATCATTAAAAAATTTGGAGACAACAGATACTGGAGAGGATGTGGAGAAATTGGAACACTTTTACACTGTTGGTGGGAGTGTAAATTAGTTCAACCATTGTGGAAGACAGTGTGGCGATTCCTCAAGGACCTAGAAATAGAAATTCCATTTGACCCAGCAATCCCATTCCTGGGTATATATCCAAAGGATTATAAATCATTCTACTATAAGGACACGTGCACACGAATGTTCACCACAGCACTGTTTACAATAGCAAAGACCTGGAACCAACCCAAATGCCCATCGATGTTAGACTGGACAAGGAAAATGTGGCACATATACACCATGGAATACTATGCAGCCATCAAAAACGATGAGTTCGTGTCCTTTGTAGGGACATGGATGAACCTGGAAACCATCATTCTCAGCAAACTGACACAAGACCAGAAAATCAAACACCGCATGTTCTCACTCATAGGCAGGTGTTGAACAATGAGAACACAGGGGCACAGGGAGGGGAAATCACACATTGAGGTCTGCTAGGGGGAACTAGGGGAGGGACAGCGGGGGGTGGGGAGTTGGGGAGAGATAGCATGGGGAGAAATGCCAGATATAGGTGATGGGGAGGAAGGCAGCAAATCACACTGCCACGTGTGTACCTATGCAACAATCCTGCATGTTCTTCACATGTACCCCAAAACCCAAAACACAATAAAATATATATATATATAAAAGAAAGGAATAAGCCATGGTGAATGGGACATGGCTGGGATGGCCAGGTGACTGCTTCTGCAGAGCTGGAAAGTGACTTAGGCCAGCAGGCTAAGGCCTTGCAGCTGGGACCTTCGCCATCAATGATTTTTGCTTCTCTCTAGATACTCACTTCCAAAGTGTTTCATGGGCAGTGACTTCTGCCTTGATTGTGAACATTAAAAAACAAAAATGAATGCAGGTGCCACTCAACTTGTGTTTTGCCTTAGGGAGGCAGGCTCAGTGCGCTGGAACCCTAGTCAGCCTCAAAAACTTTAAAGGCACAACAACAGCTGACCCAGCGTCTAGAAGCACCAAATGAAACACTTTGAAGGGGACAGGGAGCTGCTTGTCCTTCATTCTACCTATTTACGGAGAGCCTGCTACATGCTGGGCATGGTGCTGGGCACGGTGGATACCAGGGTGGAGAGGAAATGGCCCGTGGATGATCTTTGGGGTTGAATGCTTGAATCAGCCCAGAATATACACAGCAGGCCCCTCACCCGTGTGTGGGCTGGGCGTTCTGCAGCCCCTGGGTGCCCTCCCTGCCCGCCACCCACCGCCTCCCCTCACTCTGGGCTCTTACCCAGGTAGGCAGCATGGTTCTTGAGCTCATCTGGAAACTCTTTCAGGTAGGACTCGCGGAGAGGAATGAGCTTCCCGGCACTGGTCTCCTTCAGCACAGCTCCGTTCCAGTCATAGGCACCGACGGCTCCCAGCAGAACCCCGTCCTGGCATTGGGAAGCAGACACACATCAGCACCTATCCTCATGGGCCTGCCGCCAGGAGTCACATCAGGCTCTGTGACCAGTGAAGCCTCTGCCAGCCACCTCGGGCACCTTCTTCCGCATGCATCATTTAGCGACCTAACTTCTGGTGGGGCTCTTGGCTTTTGAATGAGCCAAGGAGACCTTCTTGCCTCATCCCATCCTTAGCACAAAATGGGTCAAACCGATAGCAAGGACAGGAATTTAGGAAAAAAGGAATGTTCTAGAAACAAACTCTAAATCCAGGGCCAAACTTCCATCCCTCCTTGAGCTTCAAAACCCTCTATGGACCCTCTCGCCACTGTCCACTCCTTCTGACACTGAGGGAGGGAACGTGTCCCCCCCAATTGCCCTTCTTCAATATTTCTTTGTAGTGTCTGAGTTGCTTCTGCGTATGTAAACCTAACTCCTTGGTTTCTTCAGTAAACATCCACTGAGGTCTCCTTTGTGCCAGGCACTTGCTTGGTGCCAGGGATATTGTCCCTGCCCCCACAGAGCTTGAAGACACAAAAATAGTAATAATAAAAAAAAAAGACTCAAACAACATGCAGTCAATCTGTGATTAATGCCATCAGGGAAATCACAGTGAGGCTGAATCTGGATTGAGATGGGGGGTCACGAAAAGTCTTCTAGGACGTCACGTGTACCCACGCACCTGAAAGATGAGCGGGGCCAGAGAGAAAGAGGAGCTGGAGAAAAGCGCCAGGAATAGCCCGTGCAAAGGCCCTGAGGCTGGAGAGAGTGCAGAGCATTTGCTCATAAGGAACTGAATGCTGTTTGATGGGGCTGGAGCACCAAGTAAGAGGTGCAGAGGGCCTTGAGATGAGGCTGGACAGGTAAGCCAGGGCCACCTCCATGTCAGCCAGCACCCCGGGCACTGTTGCTTGTACTTATTTCTCAGGGCTTCAAGGGGCTTGTTCTACCTACCAGTTGCAGGACAAGGGGAAGTTTTTTTTTTTTTTTTTTTTTTTGAGACGGAATTTCGCTCTTGTTACCCAGGCTGGAGTGCAATGGCGCGATCTCGGCTCACCGCAACCTCTGCCTCCTGGGTTCAGGCAATTCTCCTGCCTCAGCCTCCTGAGTAGCTGGGATTACAGGCACGCGGCACCATGCGCAGCTGATTTTTTGTATTTTTAGTAGAGACGGGGTTTCACCATGTTGACCAGGATGGTCTCGATCTCTTGACTTCGTGATCCACCCGCCTCGGCCTCCCAAAGTGCTGAGATTACAGGCGTGAGCCACCGCGCCCGGCCTAAGGGGAAGTTTTAATGCTTGGGCAGGAAGACAGGAAACTATGGCTCCTTGAGGGGAACTTTCTGGGCTATTAACCCCATGGCCCTTTCTTGAGGACTGGGTCCACTCACCCTCTCTCTCTTGCACCCCCGATCCCCCGATTCAGCAATCCACATAACTAATGGGTACAGGCAGACAAACAGCTGGCACTTGGAAGAGGAAGGAAAATGATCGAGGACAATGAGGGGCCCAGGGAAGGCGGTGGAAGCAGGGAAGGGCTGCCTTCTGGGTGACCGTAGCCATTACAGGGGTGGAGGCAGATGGTCTGGACCCCAGCTTTGGGCTTTCAAAACACGGGCAGGTAAAGTCACCACGGAGCCCTCCCTGAGCCTGGCCGCGCGGCCGAGCTTGAGGTTCCCACCACTTTACAGAGTCAAACTGATCTTACTAACCCGGGAGAGGCAGAACTGACTGTTCAGACAGAAGGTTTTCACAGCTATGAATAAGCTGGTCTTGGGAGTCGATGAGCTTGGTTATGTTTCAGGCTGTACTTGCCAATCAGCCTTCTTCCTCCTACTCTGTATTCGAGCCTCTCTGACAGTCTGTCCCGGGCAGGACGGGAGCCAGGAACTCAAATATTCACTGTCCACAAAGTCACCGCCAACATTCCTGCACGTGGGGAGTGCTCTGTTCTTTGCGGAGTACTTTCTCATCCATCTGTCCATTTGGGCCCAGAGGCCCCGTGAAATCAGAAGGACAGATGTTCATTATCTGCACTTGACAAATGAGCTGTTGAGGTTCAGAGAGGGGAGGGGACTTGCCCAAGGTCACACAGCAAGTCAGAGGCAGGGCTGGGGCTTCGACCAGAGAGGTGAGTAGGGCAGAGAAGAAAACATCTGTTTCTCCAAAGGCTGCTGTGGATCCTGTTATCTTTCTTTCTTTTTATAGATGGAGTTTCGCTCCGTCTCCAGGCTGGAGTGCAGTGGTGCTATCTCAGGTCACTGCAACCTCCACCTCCCGGATTCAAGAGATTCTCCTGCCTCAGCCTCCCGAGCAGCTGGGACTACAGGCGTGTGCTACCACATCTAGCTACTTTTTGTATTTTTAGTAGAGACAGCGTTTCACCATGTTGGCCAGGATGGTCTTGATCTCTTGACCTCGAGATCTGACTGCCTTGGCCTCCCAAAGTGCTGGGATCACAGGCATGAGCCACCGCACCCAGACCCTGCTTTCCATTTTCCACCTGAACCCTCCTGAGGGAGGAGCGTGCTATTTGAGGTCTGCCTTTCTTTCTTCCTTTCCTCCCTCTCTCTGCCTGCGGAGTCCAGGCTTCTGTGCTCCATGGACAGGCCTTTGAAGATGGATTTCTGGCTTTGCAGACGGCAGGGAGCTCCTGTGATGTACTGAGAAGGGCTGGCTGGCCCGGGAGCCTTGGATTCAGCCGGGGAAACCCTTCACGCTGACTTTCCTTGTGGGGGCTTGGGGAATTCCTTCGGGGCTTTTAGGATTGGCAATGCGGGGCCAGGTGATCGCTTCCAGTCTCCCACCTTATGCCATTTGAACCCTGGCAGCAGCTGCAGTGGAGGTCCGTTCCTCAGAGCGAATTTGTTGGGGGCAGGGAGAGTCTTCTGAGGATGGGTACACCGTGAGGAGCGGGCAGGTTAATGCCACCAAAGCAAACCTCAGTATGTCACAATCTCCTCCCAGCTGGGGAAGCCCAGACATTTAGAGTTTAGAAAAATCTAGAAGGGTGGGGCAAAACAAGAGAAGGGACCAAATCCTTAATAGGAAGCCAGGCATGTGGGCCCAGCTGGCAAACAAACAGCGGGCATTCCTGGGAAGAGCCGTGTCCCCTACCCCGCAGGCCTGGCACGGGCTTCCTGTTTTATGGCCTCCTTTTGTATCTGGGACCACCCAGGCTCCCGTCAGATGTTATCAGGGTGTGCGTGGGTGGCCGTGCACGGGTGGACCTTCCCCACAGGCTGGTTTTCCTGGCGCGCTGTGCAGACATGAGGTCGCAGGCTTGACAGCTGTCAGGAGGTCCGAGGCCACGCCTGTGGACAGGCCTTTGAAGATGAACTTCTGGCTTTGCAGATGGCAGGGTCCCCAAGGACACTGTAGCTCTACCACCTGGAGTGTGCGTAGCTCCCACCACCAGACCCTGCCAGCTCAGCTCTCAGCTGGCTTCCGACCTGGCCTGTGACCTGGCCTCTGGGACAGCCTTGCCTTCCCAGCTGAGCTGCATGCTCCCAGGGCGTGTGACCGTATCTCTCAAAACTGTGTTTCGGCCAGTCCTGCCCCGAGCCAGGGTTGGGCCACAGCACCAGCGGTGCAGGCAGCAAGGTCTATGGGCAGTGGTTCCCATCTGGGGTGGTTTTATGCCCTAGGTGATGTTTGGTTGTTACAGCTGGGGGCAGTGGTGGGGTGCTCTTGGCATCTGGTGGATACTAGATGCCACAAGGCGAGGGAAGCTGCTGGCTATCCTACCATGCACAAGGATGGTCCCTTACGGCAGAGGTATCCAGCCCAAGATGGCACCAGGGCAGAGGTGGAGGATCCCTGGCCCAGTGGTGAGAGCAGGAAGGAGCTCTGGAGTCAGAGGCTTCCGAGTTCCATTTCCAGCTCAGAGCTTCTAGCTGTGTGATCCCGGGCAAGCTCCTCTGTCTCCTCTGAGCCTTGAGTTCCTCAGCTGTAAAATAGTTCTGCTGTGAGAATCAGCATTTAACATTCTTAGCAGGGTGCTTGGCAGTCAGTGAGTACTTGGTGCACGGTAGTTTTCTTGTTCGTGAATCCTTCGGTAAGCATCTCCCCAGTGGTTGGGGGTCCAAGAAGCACCAGGTGTCATAGTCACGTCCGACATTGCGGCAGTGTGTGAGAAGTGCTCTAGGGAGTCAGGGACCGGCTATTTTGGGAGTCTCAGGGCCAGGGGAACAGCAGAGAGAGGGTGAGTGCACAGTGGGGTTAGGAAAGGCTTGTAAGGAAACCTTACTTGATTTATTAGTAAGTCTCAAAATGAACACTTCCAGTTCCAAGCCTTGAGTCCATTTCACAAATATTTTTCAGACATCTACTGAGACAAGTCCAGAGAGGTCAGATGATTTTTCTGAGCCCACATTGCCGGGCGGTACTTCCCTCCTGCCCAGCAGTAATGGAATCAGGATACCAGGTGCCAGCAGTTCTTCCTTCTGGCTCTTTTTGGCGTTTGCGAGGCATGACTGTGGAGCCACGTAGAGGTAGTTGCTGGCGGTGCCGTGGCTGGTGTGACGGGAGACCCCCTAGAGGACACAAGGCTGTCTTCCTCCCCAGGGTCCTGAGAGTCCACGTCAGAGCGGCTGTAGGGGGGTGAGGCTCCTACGAGCCCCTTTTAAGGCACATACACCATTTAGAGGGTGGGTTATGTTTTCGCTACTTGCTTGGATTCTTAGAAGCCTGTTTCAGCAGGCTGGAAGTGGACCTGAGGAAGGGATGAATGGCCAGGAGGCTTAAATGCGGTGTGGGCAGGAAGGGTCCAGACACAGGCCCTCAGCCTTTCTGTGGAGGAGAGGTCCTTGCCAAGTATGGCGCTGGAATCTGGCAGCTGGGGTGAGCAGAAGGGGTGGCAGGGATGGGGGCGCGCTACGCTGACTGCTCATGCCCCATCAGAGTCAGAGGCCCTGGGAAGGAGGCCCAGGAGTGGGCACTAGGGCACAGCCTGAGGACATGGGGTCAGACTTAAGAGGACCTGAATAAAC